AAGTGTTTGTTGTGGCTTCCGCTTGTGGTGGTGGTGGTGGTGGTCGGCAGGATTTGGGATAGTCGTACATCCTATCGGAGACTGTCAGTGTCAAAATATCTATTGAATTATTGAATTCGATTTGAATTTTGGTTATTTTTAACACAGGGAGAGAGAAAGAGGCCAAATCGCAATAGAATAAATATAAAACAACCATGCCGTAAAATGGCAACATCACCTGATCACAAATGATATGCTTCCAAATTCAATGTGAAAGCAAAACAAAAGTTTGCTAAATAAATAATGCAAAATAAGCGATATTTGTGTTTCTGTCTGTTTTCTTTTTTTGCTTTCATTATGTACAATTATATCGATGAAAATAAATTGCAATGAAAATAGACAGGTGAGCTCGCATATATAAGATAAGTAACTTTTGACTTAGCAACACACATACAATAACAAAATCCACAAAACAACAACGAGTTTCATAGAGGCTTTTGATGGCGTATGTCATGGAAAGAATATGAAGATGATAAAATATTCACGAATCCGTTGATGAGGAAAAATTGCCGATAGCTTTTTCCGCTGTTTTTTTTTTCATTTGAAATGCTTTATCATCTTGCCGGCGTTGAAAGAACGTTATAAATTCGGTTTTGTTAATCTATTACACAACGATTTTCTAGTACATACACACACACACACACATAGTCACATCAAAATGCTTTTTTCACTTTCGCCTTACGGCCACAGAGTAAGTGTTTTATTAGACACATCAACATCACAACATAACGAGTATGAGTGGATTTCAAAATAAACCTAAAAAAGATTCACTTTCTAAAGAAACCATTTCAGTTTTGCTCTTTACATTCCATTATCTGCACCATCACTGAGAGTAAAGGAGCACAACTTTTGTCGTTTGATATTCAGAAAAAGATCGTGCAATTAATAATTGATTTTGAAATGCATAAAAGTTTTTCCTTAAAAAACTGAAATGGATATAGCCAACGCTGATCTGTTACTTTCATCAGAACCTCATCGCTGAGAAAGAGGACGATTCTTGCCAAAAAAACACTTTATGTTTTCGTCGCAAAATTGAAAGCATGATTGTGAATTCGTAGGCAGTTTACTGTCTGAACTTGATGCTTTTGATGGTCGTACATTGTCGGTGGTCTTTGTCGATTATATAATAGTTGATTATGCGCTACAACACTTATATATTCCGTTATTTTGGTTTGAGATTGTTGGTCATAATAATTGGCTAACGCCAAAATTACAAGAAAAAGTCACAATTTCCTGTACCCGGATTCTCTACTGAATGGCGGAGCGGAAATTTTTTCTTTCTTATTTCCGGTGTTCACCTGCACAATCATTTCACCGAGATTCACAGACGAATGTAATTTTCTGCCGCAGTCAGAGGATGTAATTTCGTATCTGCGACAAGCGATAAGCACTTCTATCTAACCACAATTTACCAAAAACATACGATGGAGTTGTATTACACGACATTTTTTTTTTTGTATGCTTTGGCGCAATTGGTTTCGCATTTCATAGATTTGCACTCTTTGATTTTTGGTTCGGCTGTTTTGTTTTTGCAAATGGCAATTACAATGGATAAAACGAACCCCATTCGAATTGAATCGCTCAAAATCCCCCTTCTCATTGCGATGTGATATCTGGCATTTGTTGAATTTTTATCGTTCACCTTAAAATAATGAATGCGTTGCGTAGCAAAAGCAAGCATTTATAAAGTACACACGCTAATAAAAAAGAAAAACAAAGAGAGCAACTGCACGAAGCACTCTCGTTTGTTTCGTAATGATACTCTCTTTTTTGTTGTTGTTGGTTATATTGCCTGCTTGGGACGCTACCATCCTAAGATCCGTTTCAATTCATTTTTCATTTGCTCGCTCTCTTTCTTTCCATTTGCTTGTTCACTCAGTTGGGATTTGTGTGCGGTAGAAAAAAGTGTTGTAAGCCCAGGGCTTAAATGTCGATTCATAAAAACAACAGCAACAACAACAATAAAGCGTATAATATTGGCTTTGTTAGCTCGTATTCGGGGCAAAACCGCATAAAATGTATAATAGAACTTACACAATCGTCGACGTGTGCTAAAACCATTGCTTCGTTCCATTTTTCGTGTTGTTGAATATGTCTACGATGCGTGCTCTGGTGAGCCATGTTATATCACATAAATAAAAACAACATGATTTCAGAGCTGTTGCATTCGGGCCCATTCTTACAGAACTCGGGATATACGAGTGAAACGTGTGTAGTTGGATGGTGATTCTTTGCATCTTACTCTCACTTCAATGCTTCGTTCACTTGTTTGTTCCTTCGTTTCCTTCGTGTGGTTGTAATTTTGGCGTTGCTTTGTACATTTCGTATTACAAGCACACAACACACACAGAGTAATCTAAAACAAAATGTTTAATCAGAATGATAATAATAGTGTGTGTGTGTGTGTGTGGTGGGGTATGTGTCCCGTTCAAGTATCTCTATTTGAAGTGAATAGTTGAAGATGTACGAAGAGATATCACATCGAATTCATTGTAAGACATTGAAGTTTGGATATTTGAACGATCTTTTATTTGCGTTAAAATCTTCCAAAAGAAGAGCATCCAAACATTTTCCATTCTTTTCACACACACACACAATCTAGTTGAAACATTCGTTTCTTCTAAATTCTTTTAACCGTCACCATGTCACACTATATCGTCTCAATATTTTCATTTCAACCATACCATTTTCAAAATGAACTGGAATATTTTTTTCATTATGAAGATCTGCTTTGGGGGGATGTAGAATTACCGACAACCCCAAAATAAGTAATCTGGCAAAAATGCGTTAGAAAATGACTCGATTGGTAACGGTGAAATAACACATCACACTGCAAAAACTTATTCCAAAGAAAGAAAGAAAAACGACACGAAAAACAGGTACGACCGAAAGAAATCGAAAGACGGCAAAAACAGAAAAGAAAAGCACCATCAACAACGTTGTTGGCAGAGAAAATAGAACATGAAGCAACCCCGGTGCTGTTTTTGTGCGCTATTGTTGCTGTCAGTTCGTTCAATTGAGAGTTGGTTTTTTTGTTCGGGGGAGAGAAAATTGATGTGCACACAACAACGAAGGTACAATTGCTATGTTGCCACTAACTAACTAACGAGGTAAAAGGCAACTGTACTCTGTATAATGTGCAAATGTTTATTATACGTGGCGTAGATAGACGGTGGAAGGGAATGGTTGAATGGCATGGTGGTGGTATGTGTGTGTGTGTGTGCATCGTTCGTCTTTGGAAAACCGTACACCCAAAACGCACAAAAATCAAATGAATAACGAACATGATGGGCAAATAAATACACCGTTTGTACTATTTTGTTGTATTAACATGTGTAGATTGAATGGTGAATGTTGCCATCAGCAAACGACAACCAAATTGCACATAGACAGTACACGGTGATAGTAACTAACTTGTACGGGAAAACAGTCGTGGCCGCTGTCAGGCATGCTTGTATTCGGAAAACATCAATCAATTGATGGCATATCTGATGCGTTGCAAAAACTTCATTCATTTTACCATTGAAATCCTAAATAAAAATGGATCGATGTAATGTTCTTTTTCCTCTCCCTTAGTTTGCCATTAAATTTTCCGAACAAATTAGTGAATTACAACGAATTACGACATTTCGAAGTTTTCTTCATAGATTTTGATGGTTTTGCAAACCGGTTTTAATATAACATTGTCTATTTTCAATTCAATCCCGGCCGGGTGACGCATTTATTTAAAAGTAATGCAAATCTGGAATATAGAAAGTTTTCTCATAAAAAATGCACGAGCACTGACACAATCCAAATAGATTAGAAAATTCCATTTCACTTCATATCCAAATGCAAACACTCACAGGGACGGCATTATTTACGAACTATTCATTTATTTGCACTGAAACGACCGTTTCATTGCCTGTGACACTGTCGCTCTTCATTTAATTCAAAATATCAATAAGTGTGCGCTATATATTGTGTACACACCGTCCAAAAAAGACCAGCCACACGCATCGAATTAATGATGTTATCTAATCAAAATTATGTATACGATATAGTGTAGAGGCGCTTAAACGTGATCCAATTTACTAACATTAGTATGGATTTTTTATTTCTAGTTTGTTTGCGTTGATATGGTTTTTTTTTTACTTCTTTGATTGAAGTTCCTATATGTTGTTGTCGGTGTTGTTTGGTTTAACGCATTGCCAGAAGTAAGTCAACATTAATCTTTGTAATGTGTTTTCGGTTTTGGTGTTTTTCATGTTGCGGCAAAAACAATAAGTCACATTCAAACGAGAAAGAAGCGAGAAGAATAGCGGGCGGGCGCGAGAGTGAGAGATATGTCTATTTTGAAATGGTTTCATTCATCCCGCTTGGATTACGCTATCAACTGCTTGTAATAAAGTTAAGCAAGGTGGATAAATAGTTTCAACCATAGATTTATGCACCCCGTTTGAATTGCGATGAAATAAAAACCAGCAGGAGATTTTACTTAAATACGCGCGATTGCAATTGCTTTTCCTGCTTATATTTATGATTTGTATGTGTATGTGTTTGTGCGATGAATCATAAAATTTAATGTCAAAAATGAAACATTTAATTATTTCTTCATCACATTTTTACCAAATTACATTTATTTGATATCATTTATCATTACTCACATTTTAATTAAAATCAATGCCAAATTGCGAAATATCAAATATTTCCGCAAAAATACAAATAAACGTTTCGGCTTGGTAAATTGTTCGACCAAAAAAACGTGATATTCTAAGAACAAACCAATTTCAACTTATACCTAACAAACCAATACAAAAAAAAACTTTCAACCGTTTATGTGGTGTGCACAACATCTTCGTAGCAAATCAACGACAATTGTATTTGTGCGTTCATTTCTATTGACATTTGGCTGGTGATTCTTGTTTATTATTTGACGTTCGTTCGAAATGGTGTGTGCCACTCAATCAGTATAAACAATTAGCATTCACCGCAATTAGTATTGATTGTATCGTTCAGTTTTCATATTGATTTTTTTTTTTTTGTATTTCAACCGGAAATGTTGAAAATTAACATTATTAATATAAAATGACAAATAAATGACGCTATTTTGATGCGGGGCGCAAAAATACCAGCTTTAATCAAGATCAATTGAACAAATGCATTGAAAAAAATGCCCGGATTAATCAGATGTAGCACTCGATATAGTATGTTTCATTCGATTTTTTTAGCAAAATACACTTCTATGCATAATCGATTTTGTTTTTGTTTAAAAATTTAATTATTAAAAAGTATAATGGTAATTTCAAAGTGATTTTTCATGTGTTGAATGTTTCGTTGTTGCTTTTTCATTTCAGGATGGCGCGACTCAATTCTATCACTGCCAAAGAAATGGTTGTCCGTAACAGGGGCTACCGACGAATTTGGATTCCCAGAAGTAAGTTTGAGAATGGATTCTCATAAATATAAATTTAAGCAGGGTGAACTGAACAAAAGACCAAACACAAAACTGAATACAAAGAGAGAAAGTGAGAGAGAGAGAGAGCGTGCGGGAGAGATTCACTTGAGAGCAATCGAATATTTGGCGTTATTAATCTTTTCCAAGTGAACATTTTGTTGACTCTCTAGAGAGTTCATAATTTGTAACATATGGAAAGGCTTAATTAGGAAATATTTGAGAAAGTTTTTGTCGAACAAAAAAAGTTGCCACAGAAAACATTGACCGAAGCATTCAAACACAAATCGAAATCGCAACAACGGAATGTAATGTCAGATTGTGCGTTCAATCACCTCAAGTCATTGAATTGGGAATGTATCTAAAAGACAATCATACATTGTGGGCATATTATCAACAATTGAACACGTACGACCAGATGTTGTGCGATATGCATTTGACACATCTCAAAATGTGAATTATATGACGCGTATATTCTTTAGGGCATTAAACTTGAATTCTAGAAACACTTAATTTGAATCGAAAGCAAGAAGAATAAAAAAAAAATATAATATTAAAAGAAGAATGGCGAAAAAAATCATCCAACGTAATGTAGGCAATTTCATGCGCTCAATATAAAACTAAGACCAGACCAGACCATATTTACCGGCGAATACTCTAGAGAAATCACACGTTTTTTTATGCATTTACTAGTGCTTTCTTTGAACACACACACACAGAGAGAGAATGGAACAATGTTACAAATGCAAAAAATGTTTGACGTTAACACAATAACGATTCTATTTTTCGTTTCCCCCTCGTATTACAGGATTTTATATACGTAAGTTACGTTTTTCAGTTTTGAAGTACCGATCAAAAGGCATGCTCTTGAAGGCAACCACTGTTCGTTTCGAGCAAATGTAGCAGTACACACCAGCTCTTTTCACCATGAGCCAACCTCTCGTTTGGCCTATGTTAAGTGAGGCGCTGGTGCCAATGCCAGTGCCTGTCAGTACAATACATATACCGTGTTTCCTCTATTTTATTTTCTCTTCTTTTACTTTCAATAGCGGGCATTGTGACATTTGCAATGTGGCAAGTGAATGAGTCAATGCGGACGAGAATCACAAACGAAACGGTTAACAGTGACGATGACACAAAACTAAAAGAGCGAGATACAGATAGAAAGAATATAATACTAAAAAAGATACAACCGAATATAGAAACATAAAGAGATGAAATATACGTTAAAAAAAATCCCATGAGAAAAATCGGGAGCTAAGCGTGGTAGGAACATCCGAAAATATACAATATTTACGTTAGAAAACATACAGAAAAAGGGATTTAGATTTAGATACGAATTCATCATACCGTCTTTTGAATTAAACATCGCCTCTTCTCTCTTTCTCGCATATTCATGCAATGCATTTACACTTACTTTTTGTCGGTCGTATGTTGTATCGCTTTGAACAACATCCGAACGAATCTGAATGAAAAATCGGGGGGTATGCGATTTTTGCTCGCAATCGCATTTGAATATGTTTGCATTTAAATGTCAAAATAAAATTAGATTAGCACCGTATAGAATGTGCATTGGTATTTGTATACCGACTTCCATGTTTCTCTTGATTTTTTTATGTGTTGCTTTTTAAAAGGGAATTAGCCGAGAATGATAAACAGATAAAAAACCTACTGAATAAATTTGACAGACGGTACTGACAGACTGCCCCCGCAAAAAAAAATGTTTGTCGCCGTTTTGAATTTGTTCCTAATTGAGAAACACAAAATCGAAAAGGTATATACATCATTTGAATATTTGATTTGATTTCACGCTTAGAGCATGCGTAAATGAATGAAGAAAACAAAGAAATTCAATAATCAAAAGAACGATTTTCACAATTATTGCCACACCGAATCGATACAATTCAATTATTTTCGCTTGCTTGTTAATTGGATATTGGAACGAATACACGCGTGTGTTTTCAATTTTTCAAAACTTTGCGATTCTTTTCATACAACGTACGTGTCAAGTGCAACATTCAATATAGCAATGATTCATACACATAAAGTGACAGACAGTCACGACATTATCATCGCAGTATGACTTCGTTGGCTATTGATGTTAATGTCTCCTGTTGTTGCTGACATTCGATCAACTGTAAATATTGTCATTTGCAAAGTCTCAACAAGATGCCAATTTTTATTGTCCATTGTTTGATAAACGGTAAAAGTATATCTAGTTGAAATTTGGCCATGCAAATAGAAATAAATATGATGCGGTAGCAACAAACACGAACAAACAAAGAAAAAAACCATTTGGCATTTAGTTACACCACTATCAAAATAAATAACAAAGTAATTTTGAATGGTTTTGCAACATCAATAGCAACAGCTAGTTGTGCAAATTGATTATTTTTCTGTTGGGAGAATGGAAAAGGGTATTGAATTTCTTGAAATTCTTGATTCAAAACAGAGTTTGACGCACCATGAGAGCCCCGTTTGATGTTTGCCCTGTTTCGTTTTTTCATTTATCGGCAGCACAGTTGCACGGCATTTGGCTTTCGATTCACTTCATTTATTATGGAGTGGCACACCGGTGTTTGTTAAGAGAAATAAGATGAGATGTCGTGCTTTCGATGACGGGGTTAAGTGGAAATGGAGATGGTATCATTGTTCATCACACAAATAGCTTTGTATATAGATATAGAGGAATCTTGTAACAATATGAGTTTCACTCCGATGTACTTCAAGTTTTCACTTCTTTTCTTTTGTTATCTGACACCCGAAATTCCAAATATTTTACCAAGTTGAAGGCAGAGTATGCACTCAATTTTTAGTGTAATGACTTGTTCTTCTTGAATTACCCAACGGTTTTCTTTCATTTCAAGCAAAAAAAATTCGACGAATACAGATAAAATTATTTTTAATGGACAGAAAACCAAAGACTCCACACCAGTCATACAATCTACTAAATAATACAGAGAATTTTTGAAAGTTTCTTAAACACCCCTATCGAGTTGTTGTAGCAAAAGTCAATTTTTACTTTTCCGTCTTCGTTTCCTGATTACACCACATTGAATCATATATAGAGCAAAAAGCCAAATTTATTACACTTCCACGATCACAGACTGTTTTATTTTTTTACCATTTTTTATAGCAAAAACCCACACATTTATTACATTTACACGATCATAACATGAAAAAAATTCAAATATCTAATACCGTCTGTGATCGTGTAGATGTAATAAATTTGGATTTTTGCTCTATATATGATATCGAATGTTGTGTTACACAGAGAGAAATAAATAAAAATATAAGTATCAGGAAGAAATCGACACGAGTTCAAAAATTTAAATTGTGAGCATTTTTGTGTGGTTTTGGTAAAGTTGTCCGTTTGCATGTCCGAGTCATATGTATGACTCGTGGCGTATAAACTTCACAGGTTTCTGAGGACTGTACTGCTGCCAGCAGTCTGCTTCAAAATCTGCTATTATCATTAGTATAACTTCAATTCCACTACATTTTTGCAATAAATTACTGTTTGAACCTCTTATATACGTTTACATGTACAACGAGTTGAGCAGTCTATATGTTGAGGCAAAGAAGTGTGGCAAACATTTTTCGCAACAAAATACGATACGAGAAAAAGTCGAATTGAGCTTCACGAGAAAGTTTTAATGCAATTTATTGGGTGTCGAGCAGAATTCGTAATTGTGTTTGCGTTGGACGAAATGAAAAAGTGTGCTGGTATCTTGAACGAAAATGGTTTGAAAACAATTTAGATTATTTTGAGTGTTATGACAACCTCATTCCATTTTATTTCCTTTGTGTATGCTAGCATGCACAAATATACACAATTTCATTTCATATTTTGAAACTTCCATCACAAATTAAATTTTAGCCGAAAAAATGAGAGAGATATATATAGAAACGAGAAAAGAAAACACTACCAACTCAGCAGCGTTTAGCGTAAACATCATTTTATAGGTCTTTTGTGCGAGATAACATTTTTACAGTAGAAAAATCTTTCACTTTAAAATAGAAAAAAAAGAATTTATTATGAACGAATATAGAATAGCAGCTTTGCATACTTTTCCGTTGATGAATTTATTTCAACATGCCACGTTCCTCTTCTTCCACATCTATTCAAAGTGCCATTCACGATGAATGAAAGAAATATTCATTTGCATATAATTCGAATCTCCTTTTTCCATACAAAATTTTGATGATGTACAACAAATCTTTGCAATTTTCACTACGCGCCATTCAAACATTACACATTCATTCCATTTTTTCTGCGTTTTTGTTATTGGTATTCTTGTGTAAAAAAAACACTATAGCTTCATTATGTTGCGTTCCCATTTTTATTCATCAACCATTTCAATTGAAGCTCATCCATAATGCTATGTTATTTTAAATTACGGAATGGACGATAATAATTATGAAGAATATGTAAAAAAACAACTAATTTTTTATTCGTCGACGGTCCGCTTATGCTCAGCGTTTAGAGAACAATTGATCGAAACGTAAGCTTCTTTTTTCTCACTAATGCTGATAATTATGATCGACAAAGATGATGTGGTTGATTCGTTCGTTCGTAGAAATTGAATGGATTTTGTGCATTGGTTCATTCGGAGTCAATTTTTGCAAAAGTTATGCTTGTATATGTATATACTCTTATTAAGAGTGGAAGTAAAGTTAGTACGTTAGTTATTCGATTATGTTCATATCTTACAAAAATCTAAAAATCGTATTCCATATCCGAAAGACTTGATATGGTTATTTTGTGGTTCAGTCTCAAGAACCCTAAAAAAGAGCAAAAAAAGTAAACCACTGGGAAAACTCCTATTTCGCTCTTTGCAAAAAAAAAAACGGAAAACTAACTGGTAAGCAAATCATAGTCCTAAAGTTTGAGCGATTTCCAAGTTTTCAGTTAGAAACCGAGTGCCAAGAGTTGGTATCGATTTTGTAATGTGTTTCAATTAAATGCGATTCATAATGGGCACAAACGGTAAATTGTGATTGAATGTGTATATGTAGCACACATAAAAATGGTTTGATTAAATAATCGATTGGAATTGGGCGCCCATGTATGCATAACTTTCGGTGGTCGGATCGTTTATTTTTCTCGTATTTTATACACACTTTGGCAATGCAGTGATAATGTTGTTTATCTTCATTCACGGCGATAAGTTTATTAGATCGAAAAATTGACGTAATTGAATTTAGGCTGGTGGTTCCGCAAATAACACACACACACATCGTGTACCACCAGTATACAATTTGATTAAGACATTGAACACACCAGCGTGCATACGTTTCCGAGCACGTACACGCACATTGTGCACCCGCCATCAATCTAAGAATTTTCAACCAAAATGTAAGAATGTTCAAAATATTTACGAGTTGAAATAAAACATATATACAATCGTGTGCGTGATATTGATGAGGGGTTACTTTGACATTAATCATTCATTCGAATCGAAAGCAGAGATGAAGAAAGAAAAAACGAAAGAAATTGCAACAATTTTAAAGTTAACGCAATAAAAAGAATTATTGTGAATGAATAGATTGCCAACTCGTTTGCACGAAAATCACATAACGAAATTGTCAGTATACTATTCAAGAGTAATATTTCATTGATAAATATGAATAAAACAACAATGACACTCGAAATTTACATTTCAACAGTTTGAAATATCAACGAACGATTTCCAAATATAAATTCCAAATCTGTTTTCCGTTCTCGCCGCGAAATTATGACAGTTTTTGTTGTTGTTGTTGTTCTTCAGAAAATTTTCCCGGAACAAAAGCAATATAATGACAATTACTATGGTTTGACTGTATAGGTTGGCCTTTCGATGAAATAATAATTATGTGCACATAAAAGGATAGAAAATGTAATACAATTTCTATACAGAGGGTTTGAGAGTATACTTGAAATCATCGATGGCTTTCGTTGTTGTTCGCCACAGACACACAGGCGCACACACACACACATTTCAAGTGGGATCAAATCCGAACGCAACAATATGCACCCTCATAGTAATAGGTACATTTCCAAATGGAAAACGAATAGCAAAAATTCATTATAAATTTATTACACGAAATGTTTGTTGTTGGCGTTGTTGCCGGGAGTCGAAGCTCGTTTCGTTTTTTTCATGTTTCCGACTCGAGCAACGATAGAAATGATGCCTTCTATGTGTGTAGGTATATGCGTCGCCCCCAAATTTACCGTTCACGACGCGGTTGCATCTCTCGTGTAATCTCATCCGCTTGCAGCGATGAATAAAATATTATGCATACGAAAAATCATTATAATTACTTTTTTCTTTTATTCTATTTCGATGATTTTTTTACTGAATGAGATTTACGTTTTGTGAGACAACTTACACGTGTATGTTGATTTTAATAATTCAAAAAAACCCACTTCAAATATAAGACTGGCGAATATTTGTGGATCGGCTGTGGAACGGAAATATGGAAATCAACTTGAGTGTGCACTATATCAAACAAATAGAAAATAACAACAAATTCAATACATATTGCTTACAATGTCAATCTACAAATGGACACACGCACAATTATTCAATGATTCATTCATTTGGTTTGAATGTTATGTGTGTATTCTGTGTGTGAATTTTAATTAGTTTATGCATAGCCAGTTTTTATTAATAGTCATTTCCAGGCAATTCATTCACTCTCACTAAACTCTCTTTGTACCATTGTTTCAATGTCTCCGACTGCAATCAACTTCAACACAATGAACATCAAAACAATATAACGACGAAATGGCTTAACTGTTTCCTTTTGTTATTTTCCCTTTTCTTTTGCACTTATTTTTTGTGTGTTTTTCTTCGTATTCTTTTATGTACGCAAACGGAATTAAATTTACCAGGAGTTGCCGAAGCTTCCAGTTCCTGAATTGGATGAAACAATGACCGAGTATTTGCGGGCACTGGAGCCAACATTGACACAACTGCAACATGATCGAGTCACGAGCATTGTTAAGCAATTTGTATCACCATCCGGACTGGGACCGAAATTGCATCAGTATTTGGTTGAAAAACGTGACGCTGAAGATAATTGGGTAATATAAGGTTTTTTTTTCTTTCATTTTTCATTTTACAGCATAGCTTTCTTAGTCATACTTTCGCTATCACAATCTTATGCATTGCCGGGTAAAAATTAAATTTTCTGCACCTTTAATGGGCATTCATTGTCACTCGCTGTAAACATGCTTGCAAAATGGGAATATTCATGTTTTATTGCATGCAAACAAGCACAGTCTTGTTGCAAATACATTAAATATTGGCCATGTTCGTATTTTATCTCAATATTTACATTTTGCACACCAAATCCGATTACATTTAAATCCCTCAATTTTCTTAAGTAAACATTCGGCCCGGCCCGGTAGTCATAATACATGCACACACACACAAACATTTTAATCTATATGTTTGTGTGCAAGTTACCCTGTATTTATAATATCAATCACAGTTCAAGTGTCGTATGAATACATCATATAAATGAATGTGTGCAGCACCCTATGTGCTCCAAGCACCAACGTTTATGCGCCAAAACGACACACAGCGCATCAAACATTTATAACAATTTCTACAAATATGTCAAATGCACGTTTTTAATCATTATTATTATAGTTTGCTCGATAACTGAATGAATTTATGATGTAGCTGCTGGAGAACGTTCAGACATGCCGTTTATTAGCTTTGATGCTTTTTTTTCGTTTGATACTGTTTGTCTTTAATTTCATTTCTTTTTTCTGCTCTAACAAACAATTTCCGTGATGAGACTTCATTGATGTAAAAAAAAAAAAAACAAAGTATCAAACTTCATTCAATTATAATAATATGTTTGGATTGCTCAATGTATTTTCAGCACCAATACTTTCCAATAATAAATAAACAGCAACAACATTTCTCATCCTTTAGGCTTATAACTATTGGTTGAACGATATGTACATGGACATACGCATTCCAACGCCAATTAACTCAAATCCCGGCATGGTATTACCTCCACGCACATTTCATACAATTAACGATGTGGCACGATTTGCCGCTCAAGTAATTAATGGAATTATGCAGCATAAGGAGATCATTGACAGGTGACTCTTCAATGTAGCGAAGCTAATCGTTCGTAATTTAAATGAATTTATATTCAATCAATTTGTGTGTAGCGATCAACTTCCAAAAGAGCGTGCAGCGAATCGTGAAAAAAATCAGCCATTATGTATGGCACAGTATTATCGATTGTTGGGCTCATGTCGCCGACCTGGAGATCCACGTGACAGCCAATACTTGCCAGAACCGCGCAACGATCAGCATGTTATTGTTTCCTGTAGAAATCAGGTTCAATCGAAAATATATTAAATGTTCAACTCATGTGACATTGAATCGAATGGTTCGTTTCTATTGTAGATGTACTGTGTACCTGTAAAAGCTGGCGATCGTGGACGTTTGAGTGAAAAGGAAATTGAATCGCAATTGTTGTTCATTTTAAGCGATGCACCGTGTGTCAGTGTAAAACCACCACCAATTGGATTACTTACGGCCGAACCACGAACCACTTGGGCACATGATCGTCAATCATTGTTGCAGCACCAACAAAACCAACGAAACATTGAACTGATTGAACAGGCATTGGTTTTAATTTGTTTGGACGAACCAATTCCAACATCGTTTAATGGACAAGGTTTTATTGGGGCCACCCAAAGTATTCATCGTGCTGGCTTAAGAGTATGTAGCACCGAATTATTTCGAATGGTTTTTGTTTTTTTTTATATTTTTTTTTTTTGCATTATAGGACGAATCAAATATGGCACACGAAATGATTCACGGTGGTGGTAGTGATTATAACACAGGAAATCGTTGGTTCGATAAAACAATGCAGGTAATTTATGAAGAAAACTTTTTTGTTTTGTTTTTAAATCCTAAAATGTCTCTAAATATTTGCCACACTCCAACAATAGATTATCATCTGCAATGATGGAACTTGGGGTTTATGCTACGAGCATTCAACATCGGAAGGAATTGCTGTCGTATTGTTACTTGAAAAAATAATGAATCAAATTGACAATGCTAGTATTATGGACGATGGTACATCACAACAACATCTACCACCGCCAGAGCGTTTGGAATGGCAAACAACACCGGAAATATCGCAGAGAATGTTCCTTGCAGCAAAAAGCGTTGATAAGCGCATTGCAGATCTTGACTTTCTAGTTTATCGCTATGTTGGCTATGGAAAGACCTTTATCAAAAGCTGCAAAGTCAGTCCGGACGTGTACATTCAACTTGCTTTACAGCTCGCCTATTACAAGTAATACACGTTTATTTATGCCACACCAAGGCTTACTCTCATCCTCAAACTAATCTCTCTCTCTCTCTCTCTCTCTCTCTCCTGCAGGCTTTATGGGCACTTGGTTTCCACGTATGAAAGTGCTTCAACTCGACGATTTCTTTTGGTTTGTATATAATCTTTGATGATTTCTTTGTTCTCATTTATTTTCGTGAAAGTGACATAGTTTAAAAACATACATCAATTTACATACAGGGTCGAGTTGATTGTATCCGTTCAGCCAGTACGGAAGCATTGGAATGGGCAAAGGCAATGTGTCAGGGTGAAGGTGCAAATCTTTCACTAGAATGCGATAAAGACGATGACGCTGTTGATGGAGCCAACAGAAAGGTTAAATTTAAAATATACAGCGTAAAATCTCATTTCTTTCCATTTTTTTGCAGTTTAACATTTTACAACATTGATTTGCATTGTTTTGCAATTAAATCTAATTCACACTCTTTTTTTTTGCATTTCTTATTGTTTTCGTTTGTATTTCCAATTCTTGTTGTTTTTTTTTCCAAATTCCAAAGAGGGAGCATTTATCCGAGCTTTTTCGTGCGGCCGTTTCACGACAAACCGACGTTATGGTGATGAACATTTTGGGTCATGGTGTTGATATTCCATTGCTTGGCTTACGCGAAGCATGCAAAGAACTCAACAACGGTGAACTTTGTGAACTATTTACCGATGAAAGCTATCCGATTTCACAATGTTTCCTCTTGTCGACAAGTCAAGTGCGTTTCGTTTTATTAAACGAAATTTTCATATCAAATTTCGCATACATTTTCAATTTGGCTGTTGTTTTGTTTATTTACCAGGTTGCATGTTCATCAGATAGTTTTATGGGATATGGACCGGTAACGGAAAAAGGCTATGGTTGCTCATACAATCCGCGGCCAGACGAAATCGTATTTTGTGTATCTGCATTTTACTCAGCTGGCAATACGAGTGCATCACGTTATGCAAAATCACTAAAAGAATCATTGGATAGCATGAAAGATTTGCTGGAACTATAGATTTATTCAATATTATCACCGATCAAATGGCACACACACACGCACACGCCTTTGATTGATATGATATTTTGATTGGAAAATTATATATACATATATGTTTAGCACACAGACACACACACACGCTTAGAATTGCATTGTGATTTAAAAACTCAAACCCGTAGAGAGATACATGGCAGCTACGTTAAATGTTTATTTTTTAGTTAAAACTAATGGCAATCGATTTATTTTGTTCTCTTCTTTGAGTTTGAGTTTTTTAATATTTGTTTTTAACTATACATTCCATAACTACGTTGGACGAAATCATGTGGCAAACTATGTTATTTCTTATCAACTGTCTGGTTGATTAAGAACCAAAAACTATATAGATCTCATATATTTACATTTTTTTTGTTGTTGTTTACAAAAACTGACAAAGAGAAATTATTTTAGTGTCGTTATATAAATTACTCTCATATATTATCCTACCGGATAATATTCTTGATTATTTTTTTATTGTGAAATATTTCAGCCATAAAGAGAAAAGAATTATCAACCAAATGAATATATTAAACGTTAGAACGTGTTAGCATTAAATGCAAATTGGGGACAAAAACCATATAATTTTTATTTTCTTGAGGAAAACAAATGGAGACATTCGTATTTATTGAAATCGAAACGAAGAACATATCAATACAAAAAACTATATAAATATTTATATATTTTGTTAAAAAAGAATTGCAATTTTATTTATTTTTGTGGGCAAAAGAATGAATCAATATAAAAAAAAATATATTTTTGAAAAACAAACACTACGAATGATAAAAGATAAAGTGTCATTTCATAGAGTTTCTAAAGTACTAAAATATACAATTGAATAGACTTTGTCTGCTCAAACAAACATTCTCTTGATCGGTATCGATTTCGGAGTACATTAACCAATGTTGCTCTTCAATTAGATTTGACGATACGATTATTAGTAAATAGAATAGACTCTTCTCAGGAATCCCATGGTATTTTCTTTGGAAACTCACTGGAAACTCTTTGAAACTCAACGAACAAAGAAAGAAACTAGAAATAAGTCCCAATGATAGAAATTTAAAGAAATGAAATCGCAGAAAGAAAAGACATATCAGTGCATATCATTTTAATACGGCAATTCATCGAAGTGTTATCCAGCGAAGCGATTGAAAATACTTGAAGATTTTCAGAAAAATCGAAAATTCACCTGAACGGCTTGTTTTCTGTTTCAGTAAAATATTTTCACGTTTCATACCATTCAGGGCGAATTTTGACTATAAAAAAAATCAAACCTCAAGATTTTCGATTGCTAAACTATTTCATTTCATATCAATTGTACGTTCACTATATTTATTAACCAAGAGCTAATATATCCGTTAAATGTTGTATGGGTCTAAAAATTCATTACCGGTTAAAAATCGACGAGTTGAAATGTTGTTTTTGAATTTTATGTTTTCATGTATCTGAGACGCATAAGAAAAAAAGTGTTCGGTGATTTGAAATACATCGTTCACCAACAAGGTGTTCCGGGGAAACAGGTGTTTTCCATTTAGATTTGTTTTTCTATAAAATGTAAGAAGATGACGCTCGAGATTTTTTGCCGATGGAGATAACAAAAAAAAAAACCAACCAGAATACATATCATATTTTTAAATTGAAAAAAAGAAGACATATCAAGAACTTTTGTTCGAATTAGTAGAGCTTAGATGCATTTAGCTAAATGTTTATTCAAGTTGTAAAAGTTTAGATTGAAGTTTTGCTAGTTTTAGTTTGGCACTGGCCTCGTTTGAATTGGAATTGAAACAAAAGAAAATCATTCCAAATGCCATTTGCCGCTAAAAAATAATGAAAAGATGGCAAAGCTGTTCCTATAATATATATATATTGTAAGAAAAAAAACTAATATTATTAAAACGCCCGCACAGTACTCTTGTCCATGAAGAAAATTTAACACAAATGTTATATTAATAAGAAATTATTATTATTATTATTAGTTCACATTAAATAGAGTAATTTTATTTGGTTTTATTGAGAAAAATAGTAAAGCGTGTCATTACCGGCCACATTCATTTGATGCCGAAGATATGCAAAATTACCTAGTTGTCGTAGACATTTAAAAACAGAAGTATGACTCTTATTAAAATTTCAATATCCAACGTTCTAAAGCTGTTGCGTGTTTCACCACTGTCACACATATATTTGATTATTTTGACAGTGGACTACCGAATACTTGTTCATTCCAAAACAAAACTGAATTCCACATTAAACACCGATATTTACGTTAAAGTCTTTTTTTGCATGGCTAACACATGAACATATCATAAAAACTAATCATAGAGAATCTCTATCTATTAGAGATTATAGAATATTTACTATTTAAAAACCAAAAAGCGGAAGTATTAAACACTCGTCGTACCTAAAAAAATGCATTTGTGAAATGAGCAATAACCTAGAAGAGGGTTACATATAAATTGTATGGATATTATTTGTCAATTGTAGATAATTAACGGTCATATGGAATATTTTTGGTTCAAAATTCAGTCGTTTTTTTCTACTTTTCGGACAACATTAAAATGGTTCATGAAAAATAGGATTAATAATTTCATTTCTTCATCTCTATCACAAATTCTGATCACCTCACATTCTGGAGGAATAAAATCAACTGTGATAATTTTCAGTCGAAATTTTCAATTAATCTAAAATTATTTACAACTTTCCGAGATTTAAAAAAAAATTTACCATATTTGAAAAAAATTAAATTAATTGACATTTCTTTTTCCGTTTCTGTTCTCAATCTACAATAGTTTTTTATCCGAATCGATAATAATGAAGAACCTTATTCGCATTCAGACAAATATAATCACGTTGTGGCCATTGCAACAGCAACAACAAGAAAAAACCAAATACATATCAGATACAGTGCAAATAAATTTAAATAAATTAACTAGCCTATATTAGCCTCCATTGATGTGGCATAAAATATTATATTTAAAAAAAAACACACACATTTAGCGAAACATGGTAGATTGGTTTAGAGAGATTATTGTTATGCAATTGATGGATAAAAAAAAATATTTTAAACAGCTGTGAAAACCCCCTTTTGAAAAGAGTTAAAAGATATACATATACTCTTGAAGAAAATACTATATTATTTTAGATTGAAAGAGAAACTACCACAGAAATATACTCAATGCGCAATCCCTAAATAAATATATATATTTCAGTTATTCCCCATTTTGATTTATCCAATATACAAATGGAGACGCCGTATATATTTTCTTTTATTTAACTTTAAGCTCTGCCACTGTATTCAATCCCCATATAAACAATGTTAAAATGATTTAAGAAAAAAAAAAAAAAAAAAAAAAAAAAAAAAAAATAATTTAAGTTTGTATTAAATGTGTGCATCTTTTTTGTGCATGATAAGCAAGTTTCATTTATTAAAAATCACATAACGACAATATATAATACAAATAGCAAAATATACAATTTTTGTGTTCACTCCTTAGTAAAAAGTGTTAAGTTGTTCGAATGAATTTATCGACAAGTCGATTCTGATAAATTTTTATTATTATTTTTTTTTCATCTATTTAAAAGAGCAAAAATATTGAATTTGGATTCAAATAAGTAATACAGTCACAATTAATCATACAATTCATTTGGACGCGTTGGATTTTTGATTGTCATCATTTTCGGTGCTGGCATCGTCATGAAAATCAACTTTGCAAAAATGATGCTGTAATAGCTCGCTCGCCAGCCATCTTTCCTTTGGATTGTGTTCCAGGCAATTTTGTAAGAAATTTTGTCCTTCTTCTGATAATGTGTCGGGAATTTCAGGCGATTCACCTAGGGATCGAGCAGAAGAAAAAAGATATCGAAATTAATCAACATGTAATGAAATGTAATGGAAATGAAATAGTTATTTTTAGCTTGATACTTACCCATACCGACTTTGAACATTATTTGGTAATTTTGATCGAACTGTGCCCATGGCCGCTGAAAAAAAAAACAACGAAAATGAGTTAGAACTTTTAATATACAAATAAAAATGAAATGAAAAAGGTACCTTTCCAGATGCCATTTCGATAACAACACAGCCAACACTCCAAATATCAGCCGCCCTTCCATGGCCATCGGTGTGGTTACGAGTGAATACTTCTGGCGCCTATTTATACGTGTGTGATATTATTATATTTGTGGTATATATTCAGGTCTGTACACAAGGTGTTATACTTACCATATATGCTTGGGTGCCGACATATGCTTGTAACTCTCCGGGTATTGTTGTGTGGGCTTGAATTTTAACAGCAGATCCAAAATCACCTAATTTTAAGCAATTGCCCGATTTTGTCAGAAATATGTTCGCTGGTTTAATGTCTCTATGTACAACGCCATGTCGGTGTAATTCAGCCACAGCGTCCAATAACTGTGCTGCATAACGTCGTGTTAAGCCTTCATGTAAACCGTTGGACATTTCAACTAATGACTCCAAAGTACCCTCTGAACACAATTCCATGAAAATGAGTAATTCCTCCCGATGGATTTCAACGCCATACAGTTTCACCAAATGCTTGTGACTGATTCCTTCGAATATTTTCAATTCTTCGGCAACATTTCGAATGGCTTTTGTTTCACCTGGTTGTATTGCAATCTCTTTCATTGCCATCAGTTCACCGGTCAAGTTATTTACAGCTGTGTACACCTTTCCAAAGCGTCCTTGTCCAATCTGTGCATTTTAAATGGATAAAATACTAATAAAATATATTCAATAGGTAATCACAATGGAAATTTTATACCTTAATTCCTCGATGCCATCTAAAGTTGACGCTACGAAGTTTAATTTGAATTTTATCGGAACTATGTATGGTTTTAATTTGACCAATAAGTTTTTTGTCACGCATTTTGCGATCAATTTCCAAATCTAAATGATTAACAGCGTCACGTACACGAACTTGTCGTAATGCCGGCCCGAAATTGTTCATTTTTGGCACTCTTAATAAAGTACTGCTAGCGGATACAACATTATCAACTTGATCACAAGAAGTTTGTTTTCGCACCAATTCTGGTGTATTTGGTGCGCTAGTAGGTGAGGTGACCTCTTCCCTTACACTCATTGAGTTCATAAACTGACGTTGTTCATTTGAAATTCGTGGCGAAAGGTTGCGACGATTTGGCGTACGAGTGGGAGCATTCGGTGATATCTTTCGTGCTCTTGGTGAGGCACGCGGTTTTCGTATTTTGTCTGCCGGTTCCGTACCAATACCAACAACATGTGAAATGCATGCATCCATTTTCGTTTTTAAATCATCAAATTCATAATCGGATAATTTTACCGTATTTGATGGATCACAAGCAGCAATTAAAAATTCCAAACCTAATGTGGCCCAACGTGGTCGCACGCCTCTACCCCGTTCACAACGCTGTGTTACAAATTCCATCCACATTTTTGCAAAGTTTATTATTCCCAATGACAAATTAAATTCACATGATTTATCTTTGCAGCTGACGATTTTCGTTTCAAACAAACGTGAAATGTCCTTATGATATTCGAAACCAAATTTATAGCCTTGATGTAGAATTTCCCGGGCACGTGATAATATTGACATTTTATCCGCTTCATCAATCTTATCGCCAAGGTATTTAACATCACATCGCTCTTGAACCCGTTCAATGATTTTCGTTAATTTATCTCGTACCGACAACACATCCTTTTGCAATTTCGTTACCGCGTCTTTTACCACTTGACACACAAAATCCCGGCCATCACTATCGTGATCACGATGAAAATCGGGCATTTCAATGTCACGACACAGTGATTTTGCAAAGCTCATTAATCGCATTGTTTTCTCACGTTCCAATGTGAATAGAGCTTGAATATTACGGCACACGGTTAGAATTTGCCATTTCTTTTCATCTTCGTTCAAATTTGTTTTGTCATTGATTTGATTGTCAAGATCTTGTGAACGATTTATTAAACGATTTCCAGTGATTTGCAGTAAATCGCTGACAATTTGACAGAATTTTTTTGCCACATTTGCATGCTGGCCGGGAATCATCGGGCAAATCAATTTTGAAAACATCCATTCTTTATCCAGGGCATTTTTGCGATGACCTTCGGGAGCCGCAACCAAAACCCATTGTTCAACATATTCCAAGTATACCTGAAAATAGTATGCAATAAGCATTGAAAAATTTCGTTTTTTTTTTCGTCTACTTACGTCGAGAACATTTTTCACCGTTGCATCATAATCTTCCAAAATTAGCATATGTTTTTCCAGTTCGGTTTCTTTGTCATAAAATGCGGTGTGTATATGTTTATTGTAGCGTTCACGATGTGTCATAGCCAAAATTAAACCTTCACGCAATTCTTTCATCAATTGCTCGAGACTAAGCGGATTTGGGGTGACTGGCTTTGATTCTAACCGCATACGCAAATATTCGTGCATCACTTCCAATGGCATTATCGATAAAAATACAAAAGCCGGTACATATGATGGCAGATTCAAGGATGTTGCCTCTTCACTCCAAATTCCATAACGTCGTAATTCTTCTTCGTGATCTTTGCTTAATGGTATTTCAGTCTCTCGAATTTCATCATTGAAACCATCAAAATCGAGATCGGACTCTTCAGCACCGGGCACTTCTAGAGTTGCATGTGCTTTACGTAAAACAGTATTATGAAGTCGATGTAAGAATGACAACGATTGACCCAGACCACGCGATTTAAGTACGTGTTCGATATATTTGCGATAAGGCGACAACGGCATGTTACTTAAACTTGGACTATGGCTCATTCCACACAGATCAACATGCTTGAAAATATCTTGATATTCGTGCATATTCAACACTGATTGATTTTCTATCGCATCCAATGAACAATTTTGGGTGTCACGCATCGAACTGAAAACGAAAATTTAATTTAAAAAAAAAAACTGAAAAAGTGCAAAAACCGAAAATTTGAAAATCCGACACATACTCAATACTATCCGATGGGCTGACACTGACGCTGTCGGCCGGACTTGAGCTTGAATCTCCGTCACACGTAAATTTTACTTTGGGTATTTTTGGTTGTGGAACTTTTCTTGAGTCTATTGAATCACGGCCAGAATCTTCGTTCTCCTGTATCGATGAAGACGCCGAACTGTCAACCATCTTATTTTCTGACAATGGCCATTGAAATGCTTTTCCCTGTAATCTGTGATAAATACAAATTGTGAGATTTGATAGAAACATAAAAAATGTCGCAAAATTGTTAAACTAACCTAGCAAATATTTTACCAACAATTAGTAATTTTAAACGGTGGTGCCGTGTTATATTGTACCTGTTTTGTTTATTCGAGAAAAAAATGGTAATTTAGCCCTAATTTTTTATCTTAATATATGTTAACGCAAAAATGAAAAATGCATTGCCTTACCACAAACACATTGCCTTCACACGTCCAACAAATTTTGGTGATCTATACACTGGGTGAAAATTTGCTAATATCTGTGACGATGGATACAAAGCTTCGGCTGCTTCCAAGCGGGTCAATAATTCTTCTACTTCACGTAATGCAATCGTTTGTTGCTCTTGACAATCCTTACAGTACATGGAATAACATTGTGAACACCCTGCTTTTTATTTGAAAAAAAAAAAAAAAAAAAAATAAGTGAAGAAAATATACGTAATTAAAAAAATAATCATATTATTACTTGGCTTAGATTGTGTCTCGGCAGTACAAGTACTTTCTGGTGTTGATGGCATAGACGGATGTGGTGAATGCTCTGATACTCCACTATCTGTGCTAGAGACACTCACTTCGCGTTCAAATCGTCTCACAAATCTGTTGGTGTTTTTTTTATATTTGACAAACGAATCACAAAGAAATGCATGTTAAAATGGGTTTGATATTTTTTTATAACATCATAATTATCATCATTATTACCTATAATTTAAAATCTTATTTAGAAGATCTGGTATTCCTTGTCGTGCTGAATACAAATATTTATCTTGTTGTTCGAGTGTGCGACTGGCGTGTCGTGCCTGTAATTCAAGCCATATCATATCTTTGAGCTCCGTTTGCCATAGATAATCTTCACTGGATAATTTTGCATCTTGTTTATCACTGCTACCAAGTTTAATGAGATTTGCAAATGTTTCGTGAAATTCTTGTCGTGTTTGTAGCATTGATTTATCGCTTAAACCCGCATTGTTGACGATATTTTTTGGTTGATGAATGGCCGAAGCGTTTACAAAACTGTTTTGCCCATTCGACTCTTTTTGTAAATTTTGAAATGCTTGAGCCGGAGCCGAAGAACGGCATCCGATTGGCCGGGATGTAACACTCATAAACCGATTACCAGTTTCAATAAGCTTTGGTATAACCGATAAACAAGAGATATTTGATGCGGCCACACGACACGGTGGAAAACTATCACGCTCATCATATGGTGTTGATATTTTGTTCGTATTTATCACATTCTTTGAATAATTTGGTGTCGTCGAAGACGTTTTACTTGGCGATGTATTTATTGGTGTTGGTGATCCGGCTATTGGATAAATAGCGCCCGATGATAATTTCATATCTCGTTCCGATTCTCTTAACAATTGCATTGATCGTTTATCACATTTTTTTGTATCGTCATCAATGAATATTTCATTTAATAGTGCACAGTCTAATGTATTTCGTCGATTTACTTTGCGCGACATTCGATTACCACGAATGGCTTTTGTAGTTGCTGCCTCTCTAAAATAATAAAAAACACATTATCAAATTTATGGTCAAAATTTCATTTCAATTCCGTATACGGAATGATTTGATGATCTTACAGTTTTTGTTGTTTTCGATCCCAGTCACGGGTCTTATTTTTGATGCGTGTTCGTGGTGGTGTACTACCATATTCGTCCATATCGAACTTATTGAAAATATCTTCAATCATTTCACGTCCAGTCGTCATTTCCCGTCGATAACTATTTGATATATCAAGTGATGCCGTTTTCTCCACCATTGTGCACTTATTTCGTAATTCAACGCTGTGACAAAAAAAAACCGATAAAGAAGAGAAAAATTGATTAGGATAATTCAACCATATATGGACTTTAAATCGTTTATACAACTGACGTTGTTTGATATGAATACAACGCGCTCAAGACATACCAAAAACTAATGGGATTTAATCCATTGGATGCAAACAAATAAATGAGCAGCAGCTCTCAAATAAATAGATGACTGCTTTTATTCTATGAATTAAATGAAACCACGGTTCAGAAAACAATACTGATGAATCAACCGAACTACTGTCTGAATATATATATATATATTTCGAATGTTTATGCAGTATTGTGTCTCTTGGCATCGATTCAAAATGCAAAAATGAAAATCAAATCATGTTCGTTCACTTGATTGCTGCTACAATGCTTGAACATTCTGATCGAACTAAAGTTATGATGCAATATTTATCGATGCCACGAATTGATTCTTAATCAGATGATGAAAATATGAAAATACTGAAATCAGTGATACCACGGACAATGCTCGTGGTACTAATTTGAATATATTGTCATCCATTGTTTGTATTCGTATCACACATCGAATCCATCCAACTATATTTATCGATGTAAGCAAAGCTCGTTCGCGTGCTTATTCTATTCACTTTTGTTATCTATTCAATATGCATATATAACTTCGTTAATATTCAGAATTTTGTCGTGTACTTTCATTTCGTACTTGTCACCGGCTGGCAGCGGCGTGAAAAAAAAATGAGAGTGATAAAATAAACAACGAACGAAAAGATATGAGATATAATAAAACGCATCTTTTTGTATAGTTTTTCATATCTATTTCGATGGTATTTATTTTCGCCTGGCGTCAATTACATGTATTTTGTTAACGATTTTTTTTGTCGTACACTTTCTACATTTGCACACATACCCCGAGTCATATCTTTCAATTAACTTTACAATTAGCCACCATATTCGTTAGTTCGGTAATTAGTAATCGCAATATATGAAAAAATGCTGAATGAACAATTATTTGTTCAAACAATTCTTCTTCTTGATTTTTTTTTCGCGCTGGTCTTATGACATTTTTTTTTTATTTGTTGTCATGCCTTTTCTTCATGCCAGTCGTCATATTTCAATATTTCGCACATCGGTATTGTGACGCATTATTTAAGTTCCAATGGAAAGTAGCACTGGTTCGGCAAATGCATAAATTTGTAATTTTACATCAAAACATTTTCTTGATCTGGTTGGTAAGTGATTTTTCCGTTTTATAAAATATTTTCGCCGGAATGACGACCCTAAAAACAGCTCGTGATAGATAGCGAAAGACATTGAAAATATCATCGATTACACCAATGTAAACAGCCATTTTTATGGTTTCACTTGGAACACATCCCACCTTTTGGCGCATCAAAATTGGCGCACGCAGCGCAATCATATCAAAAATAAACAAATACAATTCATAAAATTACGGTTCATCTTCCTCCTCGGAACTATTTGTATCGAATTCATCGCGTTTCCTCCAATTTCCATCGGCCATTTTTGATTAATTTCGTTTTTTTTTCCTTCTTATTTTTCGCACTTCTATTAAATTGTAATCAATCCAATATTTGACAGATTGTTTCATTTAAAATGTAGTTAATTGTTCAATTTTCAAGACATTCCATTATACACATTATACTTAAAGGCACTTTTATCACTTAAAAAAAGAAGAAGATTCGAACGTTTTCAATTATGCGATCAAAACAAAATAAGACGAACTTTTTTTATCGTGAAAATACTTCATAGAACTGAAGAACTTCGTATTCGCTGTGCATTTTTGGTGTGAATACTTTGACAGTTCAGCTGTCGTTATTGTATGTATTCATTTTGACAGTCTTAAGTATCTACGCGACCTACGTGCTGTGTGCGACGTCAACGTTTGAAACGTGTAGTTTCAAATATGTTCGTTTTTTTTTTAAACTTTTGCGCATTAAATGAAAATGTATGGAATTAAAATTTACATACTTGAAGTTTAATTTAAATTATTTCTCAAATTTCGAAGCCATTTTCTCCATGTTGTACTTAAATTGTATTTTGTTAGAAATTTTCATTGAACTTTTTTTCCAATTAGATTGAATACGAGATATTTAAGAAGTAGCGACGAAAATGAAAAAAATAAAAATATGTTCGCCAGTATTGAATAGTAAAGTGGAAAGGCTTTTTATATGTGTTTTTTTAACAGCCATTTTTTTTAACACTTACTATAATTTTTTCATATAATTTTTATTGAACTCACATAATTAAAATAATTAAATAATTTTAAAAATGTTTAAAATTCATTGAAACCCCTACTGTAACAATGAACACGGAATCAGTATCGGAAAAATATCTACCGTTACAGCTTTTCATTAATTGCTATATAAAAAGGGGAAACATTTTCTTCATCTTACTTTTGAACTTGATAGTGGTATCTTGACCTTTTCGCGGAGCAAATTGGTTAAAACCAACTCTTTTCGAACGGTCCGCGAGTATAGACTCCATACTATGGAGTATGTTCAAATAATTTATTTAATTCCAAAATTGAGTATTTTTCCATCCAAACATAGGTTCTGACAAGGGCACGCAGGCCACATATTACCCCCTCCTCGAGCGCCGATTTCATAGTATTTGCTGCCCTCGCAAAGGTCTTTTTGGTAGGACTTTTGCTGAAATGTGAAAATACCCCCCCAATTTTTTCGCCGATTAACCTCCTCTTGGCAAGCCTATGTCAGAACCTATGCATCCAAGTAATGGAAAATCAATTAAACCCATGACATTTCGTTATAGAGAAGATGTCCTGCATTAAAAATTATTATTCTGTAAAATGAAATTTCAGTTATATTCATTCAATTTATAGGTAAAAAGCAATAAAAATCAAGATGAACTCAGAAACAGAGCTCAAAAAGTTTAAGATAGGTCGCTGTAAACGCGACACAGTTTGAATAACACATTATACAGACGGTATGCAAAACAAAATGAAGAAAATACCTTTAAATCTAAACAAGCAAAATTGCTAATATTTTTCGTAATGAAAGAATAGAATTTCATTTTTTTATAACATTAATGTCTCCTTAAATGACCCTCAGCGAAAAACGTACTTTTGTGCATACGTTGAGGCATAAGTTCAGATAAATAAATTAATATTCACATTGGTTCTCAGTAGAATTCAAATATTACCGTTTTTTAACCGAAAAGATGTTGGTTTCTGAACGGGTTATTAGTTTGTTAAGTAAAATTTTAGATTTATATTTCTGCAAAATTTTGGGGTGATTACAACACTTTACTACACACAGTGGGTGCACGGAAAAGTAATAAAGAAAATGGAATGTTGTCCAATTGTCTGTTGTTATACGGACTGTTGCTACATGCCAACGTATAACTTCATTGAAATATGTGTAAATGTGTCAATGTTTATATTTTCATTTGATCTGCATTTATGTGATTTCACACAACACTGATTTATTTGAATGGCCAATAATTCGAAAACTATATAAATAGAAATGTCAACTATTTACAAAGTTTGCAAACTAGAATTTATTTTGGATGAGTAGTCAAATTCCGATCGATGACAAATTTCAAAAAATTGTTTATTGTACTAAATTGTAGATATCATGAGTATATACCAATATTGTTGTTTTCGAAATTCATACACAACTCAAGTAATATCTCATTAAATATTTACAATTCATATTTATTATTAGATTCGAAAAATTTCAACGGAGTCGCCAAATTTCACTCGTTCACATTTTCACATCGCCGCGTAATTTTTTTTCATATTTTTTTGGAAATATTTATTGATTACCTGCGTTTACAAGGCTGTCCGGATAATAATAATTCATACACACAAAATTTGTCTCCACCGAACTGGATTATTCTCACAAAGAAAAAGAGGGAGCCGAACGAATGTCGTTGATTACCATTTAAGCAAAACTCTATAACGCACCTTCGTATTGGATCCATATTTTATTATCTTATCGCGCAAATATCGTAACTTTTTGCCAAAGTCAATTTTAATTGATTATCTTTTATTTGAATGATAGTTCAATCAGAAAACTACAATTCAAATTAAAGTGATCATGTAACCGCTTATATTTTCATGCGTGACACTTTTGGCTAAATATTGAAGAAAATACCACTGTAAATATTACAGATGGTTTTTCTCTTTTTTACTTCTTCGGTGGGCGGAGCGAATGCTATTTTACTACAAACTTGTTTTTTTTTTTTCATTTTTCAATAAATAAAAAAACCATGCTGTTTGAATGCATATAAATATCATTGGCGTATAATTCAGCAAAGGACCAATTGTGGTTGAAGAATCAAACAGAGTGTTCATTCGCACTCAGATTTAACGTGCACATAAAATTCATTCCATCCTATATGTATGTACTTCAACTGCTTCGGCTGCTTTTGATGCATCCTGTGTGAACTATTGTTTATCCATCGCCAATCAAAACATTGTATTTTCATTGCTATACAATATACACATGTATACATGCATATATTATGAATATTGTTTACCACAATGACATGCTGTACATATTAAATTTGCGATGAGCAGACACGAAAGAGAGCAAGTTATAATACGGTGGCAAGGATAGCATATACTTGAGCCTTTATTGAATTTTGGTTGCGTTTATTGTATTGTTATACCTAATTGAATCATAATGTACTGGAAAAAGATAGCTGCACAAAATTAGTTGGATGAGAATCAGTTAGCGCATTAACAAAGCGCTTAATCCTTGTTAAATGTTTTTAATTTGTTGTATATCATCGTGATCAGTTTGCGTGATAGAGGAACAACGAACGAATTGAATTCAAAAGCCATAGAGAGTGAGAGTTAAACACGCAGTGCAACCCCCGTACGGTAAAGACGCGTCCGTGTGTTGTTTTGTGTTTACAATTGGAAAACGATTTTGCGGTTTTGTGGTCAGTTCGATATGAACACTTACGGCAACAAGTCGTTTTGGAATTTGCACCCATAAAAATTATACTCCAATGGATATAAAAGTTTGTGTAAACGAAGGATAACTTCTATTAAATTAAATTTTAATTTTAAATTCTGAATTAAAAAAAGAATTATTTTAAGAACGATTTTGTTTGCGAGAAAAAATTGTACAAAATATTGAGTGTGAAAAAAAATGCATTCGAATAAAAGTTTTGTGAATGTAACGAAAAATGGTAATACGAATGTTTCGATTAGTAGTGCTCGGCCATCATCGCCTCGTCAATTTTTCGAACGACTTTATGGGCATTTAGAAAGTAGCGATACAAATTCGAAAGCAGTTTGCTCACCAGCTCAAAGTGAACTCAGCTCATCACCAGATATTTTAGATGATCGGTAAATTTCTCAATATTATTTTCTTAACATAGATTTTCAATCTAGTGAATGATCAATTTCGCTGTAAAAAAAAAACCATCCACGATTATTCTATTCAATTCGTTGAAAATAAAACAATTCCAGAAAAAGTGCATACAATCTAACCGCTGATCATGTGATGGGCTATCAATCGTCCTATCAAAATATATCGTGCTTACCATCGGGATTTAGCGGATTTAGATTACCACAAGAGTCACCATTATCCGCTGGACTTACCGCATTTTGTAAGTTGAAATGTTTAATCGTTTGCAATTCATTTACCTGATAATTTTTAATTTCACGACACTTATTTTGTTCGCTGGACACATTAATCATAAAATTGGTAGAAAATTAGTAATCCGATTTGGCCGAGAGTGGGGAGGGGGTAAATATAAAGCTGTCAAACGTTTTTTTTTTGTGTTCAATTGTTGGAATTCCGATTCCAATATAATAATAATAATCATTTGGATAGGATATCATCTCGAATTCTCTTTTCAAGCACACGATAAGAGGCAAAATGTGTCTGTTTTTTTTTTTGTATTAGATAAATATAAAGACAAAATATGGACCGAAAAATCGCTTGTATTCGGTCAAAGATAGTATATCGGATATGGAAAATATTGTAAACAACAATGAATATGAATAGGAATTACAGCTGTGATTTTTCCGACTCCCATATTTCACAATTCAGAAAGCATAAGTTTCAATACGGGCTGGCGGCGGTGGTGATGGTGTTGGCAACGAGGGCAGCAGGGAAACGAGAAGTTTTTTGTAAAATGGTGTACCAGCCAATTCAAAATCAACATAAGCTTTTTAGTGTTGTAGTATGAAAAACCAAACGCTCAAATAGCAAATAATTCTCAACGTATGTAGCATCCAATAACAATAACAATGATGATAATGTTGATGATGATATTGTTGATTCGAAAATATGACACAATACACATGGTTTTACGACAGAAATACGGCGGTGGAGAAAAATTTGCAAAGATGAAAAAAAAAACACCATACCAAGCAGAAAACTTTTCCACAGGCTTATTTTTATTTTAATCCTCTTCTGTGGGGTGTATCAATATCAGCTGTGTGTTGTTTGTCGTGGAGTATTATTTTAATTCTCCCATTGAATTCGACCGGTCGCCTTTCACCGCACACTAAACTTTTTTCCACAACAACTTTATTCGTACATCTCTCTCTCTCTCTCTCTCTCTCTCGTTGCCATTTTCATTTTTGCAAATCGTCTATTTTATTCAACTATTTTGATTTGTCTAACCATTGGGCTTGTTTATAAAATGAGAATTATTAATAATTTGTATTGACGTGATATTAGTTTAAAATTACATAATTTTATGAACGAATCCAATGACATATTCGAAATATGTGATACAATTGAAATTGAACCACCTGAAACACATCGCCGGAGAGACGACGGGAGAAATAACGCTTACACAACAGAACAATGAATGTCTCGACGTCAGATTAAATATGAAAATACATATCAACAGTATTTTTTTAGCTGTCATCCCCAACCCGATTGATGAACGGTGCTATAAAATTCATTGCATTCATTGCTCAACAATGAAACCATATTATAACGCATCGTTTGACTTTTCTATTGAAGTCTTTTGTTTGTTGCACATAGATTTTATGTTGCATTCCGAAAATAAATCTGATAATGATAACAAAATGTTGTTTATTCGAACAATTATATCTCAATCAAGAAGCATAAATACCGAGATTTAAATAAATACTTTGCCACTAACCACTTTTATCTTATTTATATTCTACAATCAAGAATTTGCTTGAACATTTTTCACATTAACTGAATGTTTGTTTCAAAAAAGTTTCTCGGTTTTTTTTAAACTTTCAATTACAATTTCTTCGGTAGTTATTTATTTCCTTTCGTTTTGAGCATGCGAAGTTCCATTTCGAGGAAAGATCTCATGTTTGTATCTTGTACTTCTTTCATGATAATTTCACGAGCCACATCGGAACCATCTCGTAATTGTGACGATATTTCTTCAGCGTATTGAATCCAAACGCAATTTGCACATCCTGACATACAGCAATTGGTCGGTGGCGATGGAATCTATTTAAAACATAATCCAAAAAAAAAATACAATTCAAACATAATTGTTTTTTTCCTCCTGAATTTTCACATTTTTTAAACACAAACCATTGCATCTGTGGTGCTTTGCGACGCTGCGGCCGTCTGTTTTCCATCGTTTTCATCATTGGGCGGGCGATCGTGAGAAAATCGTATATTCAACATGCAAATTGATCTGTTGTTAATTGCATCCTTCAGCATCAATCCATTTGAACACATTTTTTCTGTATAAAAAGAAAACAACAAAAAAAACCGTTGCACTTTAATCCCGTACAAATCATAATAATGAATAAACAATAAAAAAATCCATTTGCAATATGTTTCCTGTATCCTATCGAATTGAAAATGAACTTAAAAAAAGGGAGCACGACATGAACACAAAAACTAAATGTTGTCTCCAAAGGTGGAAATCAATGCAATTGCAAGTGCAAATTTAATTAACACACACACACAACGGAAAGGCTTCCTTTTGCTCGATTCGATAATGAAAATTACATACAATATTAATTTACATGTCGAGACTGTATCAAAAAAATATATATACATATATCCATTACACATACTTTGTTCAATTTCTCAATGTCCGGGATTTCGGGTTTACTTTACCCGCATTATCCATACTATGTTAAATCATAAAACCACATGACCATTAACATATTAATTTCGAAAATGTTTCGATTTTTCAAGTTGAATGCACATGACCAAAACGAATGAACGTACAAAGGAAAGAACATGAAAAGTAGGAAGACGATACACATGCATCACTTTTACGAGCATTGATCACCGAATTGTGCACATTTTTGCACCTCAAAAAAAAAAAAACGAACGTATAAATTAGCCGTATGAAATTTAATGCGATGACTAAATGACAGTTTTCATGTATATTATGCGAGTCGGTTGCTTCATTGTCGCTTTTAAAGTCTTATAAGGTGCCATGTATAGGAATCAAAATTCACCAAAATCTAAGTAAAAAAGGAAAGGAAATGAATGTCGATTAAGTCGATTTATGCCGTTCAAAATGGCATCTAGAGGTGTTGAGACACAGCCACCCAGAAATTGTCGTAATTAATTCCATCTCACGGTTAGCAATAGTAGCTGTTGGTCAAGCAGCGACGATATGCCGGAGAAAAATCGAGCCGGAATATCAGTTTTAATGTCATATATCACCATGGTGATATTTTGATCCGAGAGATAGATATATTCTTTGACATTTTCTTTGAGTCAATAAAAGATTTAATACCCGTTTTTATTTCAAGCTAAAATCACTTTGTAAGTCTCTTCTGAATTACAAACGACGACCAAAGATTTAAATGTACGATTGTTACTATGGATTTTGCATAAACAAAAATGATTCGAGAAGATGTTCGTCGACGATAAAAGTAAACCTTTCATGTCAAATCTACCGCGGATTTTTTATCCAAAAATAGTACGCATTTGAAAGTAGTGCATTTATTAATAAAAAGAATTTATTTTATGCTTTTTCTATTTCGCAAACAAATTGATGATAGAGAGAGAGGGAGAGAGAGAAATATGTTGCATTTGTAAAGATTTCGGTTTCTGTTTCGCAAAGAAGCTATAGAAAAAATAATAGAAAAAATTGCATCTATCATTGCAATAAACATTTTTAAAGGTTTCGGTTGATTTAAAAATGGCAATGAAATTTCATCATTGATTGAAAATTGATTTGATTTCAATCTGTAATTTTGCGTTTTGTAGGATAATTGAATTAATAACAGAAACCATATGCACATACGCACATCATTGAGAGACGCCACCTTAGATTTGTTCATCTAATTTGAATGTCATTAAATAATCAAATAAATATTTATTTAATTTATTTATCCCTATTTATGCGGTGCTTAGAGTTTATTTGGCTCAATTGTTGCCCGAATTCTGATGAGTTCATCATTTCATATTATTCGACGTGTTCCTATTGAACCGACCATCATCGCATAAATAGTGAAAGCATACTGTGTGTCGTCGTTTCATTATCCATTTTATTCACCCCAAAAAAAAAAAGAAATTATCAACAACCCAACAAAGACATCAGGCGAGAGAGAGAGTTTGATTGTGAGAGAATGAGAGTGGTAATACAGATCAAACGTGCAGCGGCAAATGAAAACAAAATTAAATCTAATCGTCCAACAATTATAACATGATATATTATTAAATTTTCAAGATAAATTACCCTGTAGGGTGAATTTCACGTGTTTTTTTTTATCCTTGTTTGTTTGTTTGTAATATATATATGCGTGCGCGCGTGTATGTGTGCATGTGTGTGTAGATTCATCTGCTGTGAAGGGCTAGCACGTTCATTGCGAACATTCTGTTGTCATTGTTGGGCGTTCAATTGAATGTTCACATTTCAATGTTTACAACGCGACCGCAAAAACAAGATCATCGTATTATAATAAAATTGAAATAAAAACTACATTAAGTGATTATAACGAAGGTAATTCAACCAAAAATGTGACTGAATTCGAATTGTATATGAGTCAGTTGGACTCTCAGTATCACACAATAAATACTGAATTGAAATAATCCCTAAATTCTCATTATGTTCAACATTCAAATGATACATATTTTTTTTTCGTTCGGTTTGTCTATTCCCCTTTTCCACTACACTCAAGTGGTTTTTTATTATAGCATCGACATAATTAAGACATAAATACAATACACCACTTATGGCCAACAATCGGAACATATTACTACCGTCAAATGACTACTCTTTATGATATATGTTGATGCAAAATATTTTCAAAATAAATGCAAAGAAAAACAAACCACATACGATTCGCTTACAATTTTAATTGAATAAAAGTTTTTTTTTTTAATGTGAAAGACACATTTTCCTTTCGAAATGGTGAAAAATTACCGTGTTTTTTTTTTTTTTTTGCTTGGTCTCTTTTTTGTTCACAATTCATTTGCATAGTAGCTCGACGAAGGCGAAAAGAAGGACGACCGAGACGGCAACGAACGACATTCAGCAGTGAACAAACGATTCGCTTAGAAGTTGAATTTCATCGCAATGAGTATATATCACGTGGACGTCGTTTTGAATTAGCCGAACGTTTACAATTGACTGAAACGCAAATTAAAATTTGGTTTCAAAATCGTCGTGCCAAAGATAAACGGATTGAAAAGGCTCATATCGATCAACAATACAGGTAACATAGTATTAGAAACATGACATTCTGATCATATTCAGGTTAACCAAGCATTACATGGAATAAAGGAACATATTTAATGACATTTAGGCATTTTGCGGTTGCAAATGGTTTTATGACATCGATATCTTATCCACAAATGGTGCAAGGATTACAACTACAATCGAATGAAGTCGCGTCATTACACGATCAAACACATATGAGCCCATTGAGAAGCACATCGAATCGCTCGACTGCATCATCACTTTCGCAATTCTATCATGAAATCAATAAACAAACCATTACAACAACGGACACAAATCCCGCCCATAATCAATTCAATCAAAACGTTGACAACCTATCCATTCGATCACTATCGAATCCAATTGAAATTATTTAATTTAGACGCTCCAAAAATATGTTATAAATTATATCCAATTAAAATGATTATACGAATTTCTTTTGATGAACATTTCAACAAAATTTTAAATACTCATTATTGCTGATTTTATTGTGCATTTATTTAGGAAACCAGAAATAATCAAAGACATGCAGATATCTACACTAGTACAAGTCAAAAAGAACACTTTTTTTACAAATAGGGCATAAAGTAAGGAGAAGTTGATCAAAATACTTCGAATACATCAAATTATCAGGGCGGCTCCAAAATATTTTTGTAAAAAAAACCTAGCGAATTGGGAGAACTTTCCAAAAGTCAATTTTATTCAGTGTAAACTTCATTGAAAACAGAAAAAACCCTAAAAAATTGAAAGAATTTCCAGAACTCTATTCCATCTAGTGTAAAAATGGGAGGTTTTTGATTTCACTCGGTTCATAATTGATGACCAGGTCAATAAAAAATATCATATGAAAAGACAAAAGATCAGACAATATAATGAACTAGCTGGTCAGTTGAGCTGACAGTACGTTAGCCAGCTAAATGCGCTAAAACAATAGAAGTTCTGTCAGCTCATCTGACCATTTAGATCATTATGATGTCTTAAAAAAAATCTGTGCTTGTTCGTTAATGATTTTACGGTCGAAATATTTAAGAAAAACCGAAAAAATATGTATTTTTCAAAAAAAGAGGACGAAATATGTAAAAAAGATATTTTAATGCTGCCCTGCCAATTATTGTGTCTGAAGTTTGATTTTTCTTTTCAAAAATAAAAAAAAAGTCATAATAAAATTAATAAATAAAAACACTTACTGAACATTTTTGTTTGGTTGGCGTTGGAAGATATGCTCGTAAATTCTAATCTCTTATTTTTATGCACTGAGTCTCACTTTCAGGCTTATTTTTAGTTTCACTTTTGCTTTATTTCTTTATCTTTTATATCTTTTTCATTCATTTCTTAAGTCAATAACTGCAATAAAGGATAAAAAGAAAACGAATTTCAGTTGTGTTTGTTTTTGTAATTTGAAAAGATGTTAAAAACAAAATGCCATTTATTTCCATATAAAACAATATTAGAATATTTTTGTATAGTTATATCAAAAGATTTTTTAACGGGAGCATTATTTTAACACATATTCCATGTTTCGATGAATGATGCTACATAGAAATGGTTCAGTGGCGTGCAAGTAATCATTTTAATAATAATTTGGTGTATTTCACTGCTAAAGGTCTGTGTTAATATTTTCTGTTGTTATCTAGTAATTTATGATCGTTTTATTAGAATTGAAATTGTGCAATATTTCAATATAGTTAAAAAAAAAATAGTTCATTGAAAAAAATGAGCATATAAACTGTTTTCTGATGAAATGGCTATTAAAGAAGGAGTCTATTCTTATGGTACCTTACCGTTAGTAGAAATAACAATAATCAATCAAAAATTGTATAACAAATAAATGACCACCATCACTCTTTACAACCATTAGATATGTGTGTTCCTTTATTTTCCGAATGAATTTATGGCATTGGGATTATATTGTAAATTAGGTAGAATAAAGGTTCGGTGGTTTTTGTAGAAAAAAAATCATCATTGGTTATCAAGATTGTAAGAGATAGAAGGGAAAAAAACGCATCGTACAACAATAAAAAAATAATGGAACAAAACATATAAATATGAATTGGAATGAACACGCGAACAACATTTTCAATTTGGATAAAAACTTAAATAAGACGTTAACAATAATAATTCAACCATTCGTTCGCTGTTCATCATTTTCTTCCAATTTTCCTCGTTTTACAATAAAAGCAAATTGGTGTTTTGGTAATGTGGGGCGGATTAGTCATGTGCAAACATGGTAAGAAAACGTTCGGAATGAAAAAAAACGGGAACGTTGTTTTTTTTGTGTGTGACCACAAAAGCTACGTACTTTTTTTATATCGTGTTTGCATCGTGAAATGAAAAATGTTCATTATGATGTTTGCTTGAATGGATGATGATTTGATTCGTTTCATTTGTAAGCAGCCTGACTGATTGAATTTCGTTTTTACTGACTGAATATGAATCATTGCCAAAGTGAAGAGAAAACATTGGGTTAAGGCTGAGTGAGAATGTGTGAGATGCTCTGACCAAACCTAGTAGCCCAAATGTCGGGAGATCGAACCCGAGCCTTCAATCAGAGCCTCCCAAGTACTACAAAGTACTCCATTTGAAGGCGGCTGGCTGTAAAATTAACTAAACACAAAGAAAACAACATTTTTTGTCGTTTGAAATGATTTTTTTTATTGAAACCTTTTCTCTTTTTTTTACATTTCAAAGTTTTTTTTTCTTCTTCTTTTAATGGATAGTTTTTTTTTTAAATTACCAATTTGATTTCAGAGTGTTATTACCATTAATGATCACTTTGAACATTGAATCGTTCCAAAGTGGGGTAAGTTGGAAATCATTTTTCTCACAGTTTTTGCTCAGTGTCGAAGCCGTTCGTAATGCGGTTTTGACGTGTTGAAAAACTGTTGCACACACTTGTGTGCATTCGGACCAATTTGTTTCAATGCGTTGATATACTCACCTGATCGAGCACGTGTGAAGCAATGTCAACATCCATATGCAAATCACTTTTCAGACTCTCACTTGTCACCCATATATGATTGTCATCATTAAAACTCAATTCGGCCGAATCAAATTCAAAATCAAAACGATCATGTATTGTAACAACCAAAAAAATGCTGCCATAGAGATTCACACATTGCAAAACAGTCGCATGTAGTGGCATTTAGTGTCACACTGTGTTCCCGTAATCGTCAGTCGCACATCAAAACCCCCAAAAAAATAAATACTTACCCGCTGCGATACTGCGTTCGGGAGCGTCCAACTTAGTTAAATCCACTAACAAATACATGATTCATCCTTTAAAACACAAAGAAAAAAAAAAAAATATAAATTGAAAGTGATGATCACAAATTTTGGATGCAATGTTTGCATATTGATTGATTGTTGTGTGGGGGGAAAATGCTTAGATTAACAATTCAAGAGATGGATTTCGACCGGGGCTTTTTATGAAGAAATTTTCGTTGGAGTAAATAAAATGCTTTATAAAAAACGACTGAAACTGCTCCTGCCTATGAAAAACAACTGTAAATCTGTTTTGTTTTTTTCTTTCTCAATATTCTCTGCATTATGATGATGAAACCTAGAAAGTGTAATACGTAATTCGAATCATATTGAAGGCTGTTGAACCAAAAGCACCCAAAGTAGCCAAATGGCAATGTGCTTTGTTTTCTAGTTTTCTAATATGGATTGCACATAGGACTTGTACAATGATGAGATTTTTTTTACTACACAAAGTGATTGAAATTAAAACTGAGAAGTTACTAAATGGAAACGGAAGACACTACAATATCTCACCGAGAGAGAAAAAATGATAGGGATTATACGTTTTTTTTTGTTGTGTTATAAAAATTTGAATTTACACACTGTTTTCGCTGCTGATGCTGTTTCGGTTGCTGCTTTTATCTATAATACAATGTTACTATACTGAAATATTCAAAATAAGAGTACCTGATACACGTTTACTCTGTTAAACTCTCTTTCACACATAACCTGCATTTACCTCTCTGTCTGTCTGTTTGTTTCTCTCTCTCTCTCACACACACACACTCCCTTTCTCTCTTTTCTCTGCCTGTGAGAGCTGCTCATTGTCTGTTTCTCAAAATTCGATTTGATTGAATGTGTGTGTGTTTGTGTTTTTGCGTACGTGAATATGTAGAATATTTCACTTTTATTCAACATTGTATTAAAATCAATGCACCTCTGTAAAAATATCTCTGTCATTGTGCAATGTTCACTGATTGAACGAAGCAGATGCAAAAAAAATGGAAGAAAAAGAAGAAGTTCTACAAAATCCTCAATTGCTGAGACAATCTTTGGAAAGAGGAAAAGAAAACGCCTAAATATTGTTTCTTTTGTTATTTTTGCACGTAATCTCTCAACTATATTTTCTTATATTTTTTTTTGTGTTTGTTTCCGTCATTTTTTTTTTGTTCTCAGTGTCAATTTGGTTAAGGTTACGTTCAATTGTGGTGTTTATAAGTTTTCTTTTTTTTTGGGAGGATGATTTGTGTCAAATACAATTCTTAGATATTAACTAGTTTAGAGTTGATTTTGGGGGGAATTTTTTTTGCTGTTGCTTCTTAGCCTTACATAACTGATTACACTCAATTTGGTTCACAATAATTGAATTAAACGACTCACCCTTAACGTCGTTTGAGAAAAAAAGAAATAATACTAAAATGTTTAATTTATCAATGGGACCTCAAATGGGTTGGTTTCTTTCACTATTTTGTTTTTGGATACATCGCTTCACACTCTAAGTGTGTATGTTCAAAGATTGGATCTTATCAAAGCAATTTTCTTTAGAAATCATAATTCAACAAATGTGGGCTACTATCTCTCTCTCTCTCTCTCTCTTTCTATATTTTTTAGCTAATTGTTGTTGTATCGTTTATTGTAGTAAATAATTTTGCTTATTTTTTATACGAACTGTGTCTGTTTTTCATTCGCTAATTGCAATTTTCTATCGAAAAATCGAAATGAAAAATATATTCCTGCAGATTGTTCAGTGGTAAAAAATGTGTTTTACCACTGAGGGACGCACATGATTTCTTCAGTTTGGTTTACTCAGTGAACATGAGTATCGAACATAAATGGAAAATGAACAAAGTGAAGGTAGAATGTAAAAAAGCGCATTTTATCTCTCTGTATGATTTCCATCGAATCGAAAAATAATCGATTGAAAAACTATAGACTGAATGCCACACACATATTTGTTTTTTAAAGAAAAACTAAAGAGTACTCAACTTTACTCTAGTATCGAGTAATTGAAGTTGTTTCACTCCGTGTGTTTTCAGTTGATTCTGACCTCTTTTTTTATCATCGACTTGCCTACTAAAAAAATTCACTCTACCACTCCTCTTCTTATATAATTTATAATTTTTTTTGTGTGTTTTACCATATAAATGATCTTAGCGAATAATATAGTGATTTTAATACATAATTTTCATCTTTATTTCCATTTTCATTTTTCTGATGGCTTCATTCAATTGAATAACTTCCTTAAGATACGAAAAACTGGAGATGTAATGCATTCTAAGAAAAAAATTCGGGCGGCTTTATTCTGTTTCATTTTGTGTATCAGTGTCAGTTTGCTTAACGATTTTTTTTTATGTTTGCTTGTTTGTTTTGTTTATTTGATAAAGATCATCTTGTAACCACTTTCTTAGAAATAAATGTGACCATATAGAGGCGAATTTCCTTAAATATTCATTTCATAAATTGATTTTATTTTTGTGTTAAATTTTTTTTTTTGTAAAGAAAAAAAAATATTTGTTTTGCTTAAACTTCTTGTATGTGTGTATGTTGTGTCTATGTGTGTTATTTTTTTTTCGCTATGCATTTAGAATTAAACTAGTAATTTATTAATAACGATTTGCTTTCATTAGCTTCCATCGATTTAGATCTTTTTGCGTGTCACTAATTTTTTTTTTTTTTTTTCAATAATTTTCACACATTTCAAAGTGGTTAATTTTTTTTTGTTAAGCAATAAAGTAAAAAATAAGTGCTTCTTGATGTATAACATCAACTAAATCAGATTGTTTTCTTTCCAAAATATGCTTGCTACAGTCATATGATAAAATTGACAGAAAAAAAAGAAAATAAACTTTTGATACTAAACTTATATATTAACTAAAATCTGGTCAAAATATATTATAAAAAAAGAAGATAATAATAAAGTTTTCATCAATTCAAATGAAATAACAAATGAAATTATACAGTTGTAAGGAATTTGTATAAGAGAAAAATACACAGTGATTGTACACAGACTTTCTGAAACTAAATATAGTCGGGATATACTATTAATAATAACACTTTCTGTTCTAAAGTAGCACTCACATTCACATCGAAGAGAAGGACAATAACTCTTTACTGATTTTTTTTCATCGCTACGATACAGACAATTCTTCATTCATTATGTGTATGCGTGGATCGAATTGAAGCGTGAATTGTTTTAAAGAAAGAAAAAAAAATGACAGGCTAAATACAATAACAACTCTTTCCCTCTGATTAATGTGGATGCGCCTAATAGAAATGTATTGATTCACTGACGACAAATATGGATATTGAATATTCGGATGTGTCTCAATGTCTTACGACGATTGATAATACTCGAAATAGCGATTTGCTAAATGTTCGACACACACTATTCCTGTGCTCATATTCTTTGCTCTTCACCACATTTCATATTGAATTGATACAGTGTTTAATTATTCTATTTAATTTAAATTTGACTGTCTGTCTCACAATATATATAGCTTTTTGATTTACTGCGATTTTCTCAAAATTTGTTTGTAGGTTTTCTTTTTTGTTTTGCTTCATTTTGCCTGTCAATCTTGCTTTCAATATTTGTCGAAAATAAAAATAATTGTATGACTTTGTTTGTTCCTCTCTGAATCTTTTCAGCCTTAATCGCGTGAAAACAAAATGTGTGGCCTGTTCATATCGCATCAGTTTAAAAACTCCAAAAAAGTGATTTAATGATATTTCTTGTAATAGTTAAATGGTTTGTTTTTTTTAAATATATTGTTGATGGTTTCATTTAAATAAAAATTCAGAGTTCGAATATGATCTCTCTTCTTCTTCTTCTTCTTTACACTTTCTCTGTCTTTCTCTGTTTCTTTTTAACTGCTACTCTTTTTACTGACTTTCTTCTGTACTCTGTTCTAATCCTGTGTTAATGATTGTACGTACGGAATTTGCTCTGACCTAGATGAATTGACGAAAAAAAATTTAAATATAGAAATAATCATTTAGTTTTAAGATAATGTGTGTTTTGTTTTGTGGATTGGATATAGAGTCGTCATACCGTATGAAAGATTATATATGTGTATGTAAAAAAAGTAGTTAGATCAAAAAAATAGATATATCAAATGCATGTGTGTATCGAAAGTTTTTTCTTTTGATCGAAAATATATACTTTGGATATATGATGAAAGAATGCAAACTTAGGCAATAATGAATAAGGATAACACTCAAAAGACTCTCTTAATTTGTTGAAAATACGGTTTTTGTGTTGCTGATTTATTTCAAAGAAGAGTGGCAATTAAAATACAAAAAACGCTAACAATCCTCTACATGTTACACAACCAAAATGATTTTTTTTTGTAGTTTTATGTACGTGTGTTTGTGTGTTTTGTTTTTCTTTTAAATGGTTAAAAGTCTCTACACCTAGTATCAGAAATAACTAACAACAAACAACAAAAAGAAGAAAAAATAAGTATTTTTTAGAGACAACGACTGTTTGACGGAAGAATTAAGCCATTAAGAACATTAAGTTTCTGTTGATTTGTTGGTAAGGCACGCTAAGTTTTTTTTTTCAAAGGGGGGAGTGAGGGACAAAGGGATAATGTGGATTGAGCTGTAGCTTGGCTGCGTGTTAAAATGAATAACAGTAATAAAAAATCCATTCAACATAGGTAGGCCAAAGCTTTACCGTTTTCTCTCACAGTTGTTATTTATAAGCAGCAAAAAAATGAATCAAACTTCAAATCATGCTGTACCACAAACTGTAATTTGGGATTATTTGATCGATTTAAGCATTTGAACATGTGTCATTACAATAGTTTCTTTTTGAATATGGTAAAATTCAAAATGAGGTAAGATTGTAATTTTACTGTCACAGCCATTAATCTTAATCAAAATAAATGCATTTTTTACTTATTTTGACCAATGGGTGTAGGCTGTATTTGGCTTCAAACGATTTTTGATTTTCAATGTTTTCTAGATGGCTTAGCGTGATCAATCAACCACTTATTTTATCATTCGTCATAACTTAACACTCCTTTACAGTATGCTTTCTCTAAAGTATGCTTTTCGATTCACTCTTTTTTGCTTCTCAGTTTTGTTTTATCATCGTCAAAACGGCCAAACAACAGTTACGTTAAATAAGCGAGACAAAATATATATATATATTTATATGGATAATAAGTAAAGAAAGACATTCGCAAACTGTACGAACCTTTTTAGTACCTTCGATTTCCACCTCCAAAGTTTCCACCGCCCATTGGTCCATTGTTATAGCCCTGATTGTAGCCACCGTTTTGGTTTTGATTGTTACCTGCTTTTTTAGAGAAAGATACAGATTGGTTTATGTTTGTTGTATTATGTTTCTTTTTAGCAAGCTAGTTTATTGTTTAGTATTTTCCTCTAAATCCTACAGTGCAAATGATGAACACTTACTGAATCCATAGTTGTTTGGTGGGCAGTTGTTGCTGTTTCCGTATGGGTTGCTTCGCTGATTGTTATAATTTGACCTCATTGGACCGCCACCATAGCCCTGCTGATAGTTGCATCCAAAGTTGTCGTTATTACTCCAGTTGCTACCGCTACTACTCTGATTTCCTGGATTGTTTTGATAATTGTGTGATGGATTCGGAGTGTAATTATTTGGACCACTTTGATTCCAGCCTTGATGACCACCTGTACAGAAAAAAAAAAAAAAAGTTTGTATTTTTTTGATTTTGCATTGACTTTTCAAATTGACATTTTCGATTTACAAAAACATAGCCAGGAAATGCAATATTCATGGACCCGTTTGATTTTTTTCGATAAAACGTTCCGAATTTCCATTTGAACATTGCAAATTGAACTATTGCGCTGTTATTATGAAAGTAAAGATAACTTTTTATTCACCTTGATTACTGCCTGAATTGTTATTCCATGGTGTTGGTTGACTATTACCACCCCAATTTCCGTTGCTGTTGCTGTTGAATCCGCCACCATTGTTGTATGCATTGCTTTGCATCCAACTGTCATTGTTATTATTGCGGTTGTTATTACTCCTGTAAATGATTTCAAAACGGTTAAAGAAGAAAAAATATCGTAATCATGGACACTGTTTCCCACTCCATTTTTTTTCTCGATGACAAATCAACTTAATTTCCGTTTAAACTTACCAATTTGTGTTGCTGTTACTGCGATCGCCACGGGGACCGAATCCACGATTACCCATGCCCATGCCCATTCCCATATCACGGCCACCACCTCGATTATTCATGCGATCCATTTCATTCTTTGGCAATGCTTTTTTGACATCCAATAACTTATTTTTAATTGTATGTGATTTACGCACTGAAATTTAAAAAAAAATAGACAAAACAAATAAATAAAAATCATTCAATCGCATTGAGTTTATCTTCTTGATTCCGGAATTCAAAAATTAAAAAAAAAATCGAATAAAAAATTGTAGCTAAGATTTAGGTATCACTTTGACATTAGTATAGGTCTAGCAACAAGGAGAATCAAAGCTAATTTCAAATATGAAATAAAATTAATCTCACAGTTCTGAACGCCTGCCTTCACTTATTGAACAAATAAGGCAGGAGCTGGAAATGTGTACATGTCATTCATGATTTCAAAAAAAAAATTGAATGAAAAATATTTAAGAAAAAAAAACTCGACTTACACACAACTTTATCAACGGGATCGTAGTCGTCATATTCAATGAAAGCGAAACCACGTTTTTTGCCGGTTTCCTTGTCCATAACGATGTTAACACTGGTAACGGCGCCAAAATCGCTAAAATATTCGCGTAAATCATCTTCATTATGTTCATCTTTTAAACCGCCAACAAATAATTTTTTCACCGAGGCACCAGCTTCTGGACGATTTATATCTTGACGTGGCACAGCACGTTTTGGTTCAACAACGCGACCATCAACCTTGTGCGGTCGGGCATCTTGTGCTTTATCAACCATGAATGAACGCGAATAGGTTATGAAACCGAAACCACGTGATCGTTTCGTTTTTGGATCTTTCATCACAACCACATCGACCACATTGCCGAACTTTTCGAAATGTGCTTTCAACGATTCGTCAGTTGTTCGATAATCCAAACCACCGATGAACAATTTCCGAATATGTTCCGGCTCGCGGACATACTGTAAATTTCAAATCAATTTAAATTTAATTCAATGCGAAATTTTTTAATTCTAAAATGATTTTTTTTAAAAAAAAGGAAAAATTAAAAAAAAGGAAATGTAGCTAAGATTCGCAAAATCACATTGACATTTAATAGTCTAGCAACATAAGTAGGCTTATCAAAGCTATTCTCATCGAAATGAGAAACTTGCATATTCTTACAGTTCTGAACGCCTGCCTTCATTTATTGTGTAAATAAGGCAGGAGCTGGAACTGTGTAATTTTTTGGTTTTTGCGCATTGACACCAATTTTCAGTTCACGTTCGATTATTTTTAGACTGTTGTTCGTACTTGTTTGAATGAGAATGAAATTAAAATTAGATTGAAACAAAAAAAAAAGTTGGGTTAAGTTGGGCGGCATAAACGTGCTAAGACCCGACTCGAGTACTTGGATTTCAAAAATCTTGCCGAAAATATTCTGTATTGAAAATGGCCAACGCGTACCTTGCAATCATCATAAAAATAAATATTTTGTTTGTACATCACCAATGTGGCGCCTAAGAAACGTGCGTGCAAAAATACCGTATATGCCACTATGTGTGAGATGTGCTTCACGTGGTAAATTTCAAACCGATATTTCTTACATCATAGTATTCTTTTTCTTTTTTGTTTAATGAAAAAAAATGTTCAAATAAAATTGAAATTGCATTGAAAAAAAAAAATGATTCGTTAATTGAGTGGTTCACCTTTATCGATCGGCATCACTGACATTTTTTTTTCGTTTATGTATAGAAAGACGTAGAAAAAAGTTAAAATGGCGGCGACGCCTCTGCGGCGATATCATAAAATATGGTTAAAGACACCGAATATTGTACATGATTTTAGCGGAAAGTTTCATCAATTCAACCAAACACGTTACAAAAGTCAAAAAATATATTTTTTCGAGTTTAATTTTTTTTTTAAAATAAATGAACAAACCTCTTCTTCATTGGAATTGCCGTTTCCATTAGCATTGCCATTATTATAGTTGCCGTCGTCATGCTGTGGTTGTTGTTGTTGTTGTTGCTGTGGCTGCTGTTGCTGTTGCTGCTGTGGTTGTTGTGTGGCCATTTTATTATTTTTTTTTTAATTCGATGTAAGAATTTATTGAATGTTCTTTTACACACTTTTTATGTAAAGTATTTGAAAAATTAAGCAGTGAATTTTTGTTTGCTACGATTACAATTTGGTCTTTCACTTTTGAAATAAACTTTGAATTCGGTTCTAGACAAATAAACTATTAAATACAACTTCTTCGGTTCGCGTCCTCTGCTAAAGTGAACTACTGTGTGCTTGCTACGGAAAAAAGTGGCAATGTCGTCGAAACGGATGTGGAAAGAGAAACATGTGTCAAAGTGAAAGAGAGAGAGAGAGAAAGAAAAATTGTTTGACAGTTGACTGACAGTTCAGAATTTTAGTACTAAACGAATGAAAGTTCCGTTTACACTTGCAATGTTTGTTCTTTTATTTTCAAAACTTCAATTGGAATCAATTTGTTTTCGGTTCATTTTTATTTATTAGCTAAAAAAATTATTATTTCACAACGTGTGAATGAATTGTAATCAATATTGTTCTTGAATTTACAAACAATTCCAGCCATTTATGAATTCTCGGTTTCTTTGAATCTGGAGGAGAGTGAGAGAGAATGTGATTGATTAAAAAGGATTGTTTTTTTCACTGAACTCTTTCAAATTTAAGTGAATATTCACGAATTGTTGATTTTGTTACTTACTTGCAATTTGTGCATGTATAGAAGACGGTTTGGCCTTCATCGGCACTACGTAGCTGTAATGTGGCATAAGACATCGTATTGTTGCCACATTTTGGGCACAATCTCTCAACAATCGGACCCTCGTCACCTTCCTCTTTTTTCGCACCCTTCGGTTTTGCATACGTATTGAATGGAATTGTGAAATTTGCTTTCATATCGCCAAACACTGTATAGACACACAAAATGATTAACATTTATACATAGCTTATGATTCGGAAAAAACTTACCTTCTGGAGGCCAATCTTTTAGACAAGTATAACATTTTACACTACCAATTGGTCGCAAATATGGCAAAATTGAGCCACAATTCGGACAAAATCCTGGTGTTATTCTAATCGATTCCATTTGTCTATTTGTAGCTGACTCTAACAATAAAACACGCTACGTTTCGTCGTTTTGGAATGATAGTAATCATAAGCATCAAATGTCAACACTGAGTAAAAAAAACGTGCGTCTAACATTGCAAAACAGTAAGCACACGTCAAATTGGTACTAAAATCTTCACGAACCACAAACTCTCAAGTACCACAACAGATGGCACCATTTGAATTTTATGTGTGCTTTCAACATATTTTCATGTGTGCTTTCATTCATACAGTTTTTATTTTAAATTTTCACCAAACGTTTCATTTTTACTGCAATTCAATGGAGTTTATCAAATGATAAGAACAGATAGAAATCGATTCTATCGAGTTAATAAACGTTCCATAATATCATTTCGATTGAAAAATTTATACATTGATTTATTTTGATCGATTCGATGAGTTTAATGAATACTGTTTTTTTTAAATAATAAATCGATAAATTGCAAAGTCATACTTGAAATTATACAATAGTGACATTTATTGGAAATAAAAAAATCGACTCATTCTTTTTCAAAACCAACTTCATTTGATGAAATTTTTTAATTTAAATACCATCCTACTTGAGTTGAAAGCGGTTTTTGCACACAAAAAAGTGAAATAAAAAAAATAAAACGAAAAGAAAATGTTATTCATGTCAGGGTGCTGATGAGAGCACACTGTTTGTGTGCCACGAAAAAGCGAATTTGGATGGTTGGTTTTTTTGAAACCGTAAATTCCGTGATCAAAAGGTGCCTTTTGATATTTTCATTGAAACGCCACTTTCTGTGTTTTGACAATCAAAATTCGTTAGCACAGCATCAATCCAAAGCAACCGGAACAGTTGAAGTGTGGCATGCACACTCCGCGAACAAACACATACACACATTTGAGTGCATAGACAAAGGTTGAAACAAATGAGCACGCGAGCAACTGCAATTATTTCCATTTCCTCGCGAATTTTTATTTTCCTTTTTTTGTTCTTATCCTGAGTTCATCATGATTTTCCAACGAAGAACAACCATTGGTAATCTTGCAAATAAGGAAATACGGATTATGTTAAGGGGTTTTACTATAAAAATACGTCTTTTTTTCTTACTTTCTTATAAAAGCAACGCAGAACGATTTCTAAATTGAATAAAATACATATAATGATTGAATCCATTGCAATAAAGAATAAAATATATTTGCACACACACACAAGAGAAAAAAATACAAATCACTTCGATTATTACACAACCATTTATATTTGGTGTAAAATCATCCTCTCAATCTTCCGCATAAATTCCGTGCACGGGGTGGCTTTTTGTCTAATTGCAATTGGTACAAAGCGTGAAAATTGAGAACAATAACAACAACCGAAAAAAAGAGAAAAGAAGAAAAAAAATTCATTTTTCACCATGTCGAATAAACTCCATATGCTTAATTTCTCATTCTGTACTGAATATAAACACTCTCGTGAAACTTCAAAAGCAAAATGTTTTTTTTTTTTGATTATTTTTTAATGTATTGTTTTTTTATTGCGCATCTTTTATCGATTGACTTGAATGAGTGAGCTTCGACTGTCACATTGAAAGAGAACTTTTTTTATTGCAAAATAATTACTAGAAAATTTGAGTGAAAAAAAAACTCCCATTTTACATTTGATGTGTGTGCAACATATTTTTTTTCTTGCCTACTCGAATCGGAATGAGAGAATGAGCGGGTGCAAGAGTAGGTAATTTGAACACAAAAATATGTATGAATATGATGTTGTATTGTGTAGAACGGTATTGTTATTGAACGGGTTTTCTTTGAATTGCGAACAATGCTAACGATTATTTTCGCATTTTGCAGCATTTAATCACGCACACACAAATTGGAGATCTGTCGCTCGCCCAAACAAAAATGCGAAATGAAAAACAGAAATATATATGAGTAAAATATGAATAACCAGTCGACTAGTCGACAAAACAAAGCACACCAAATGTAATAGCAACAAGAGCGTGCCAAACATAAATCATAATTACAACAAATTTCTTAATGTACATTTTTTTGTGTTCGTTTTGTTTCGGTTTCGGTTATGTTTCGTGTTGGTTGCATGAATGCGACTGCTTTAATCAAAAGGCGTTGTAATGGTAAATACTTTAGCGCGAAAGATGAAAATAGCTCGGATTCTTTTTTTTTTTTCATTTCATCTTTGCTCTCTGTAGTTTTCTCGCCGTTTTTCGGTTCATAATCATCAATGCTTTTCTGATTAATGGTAATTAAATAGCGGTGATGATAGGTAAATATCGTCAAAAAGGCCAATAAGAGAAGAAAACAAACTAAAAAAAAACACATTGAATACAAAGCACATGTGAAACGGAGAAAATTCTATCGGATGTTTTGCATTCAAAATGTGTGATTTGTTTAATCAATGGTGCGCGTGTGTGTGACGTTCATTTTTTTTTTCACTCGCACACACACACATTTTCATGACGGCAAATACACATTTTTCATTTCAATATAAATTCACAGCTCTCTGAATGATACTTAATTTGATTAAAGAAACTCTCACACGAATTATGGCATTTAATTTTTCTTTGATATTTCTTCATTCGTATCCGCCGATATTTCGGGCCACATCAAAGTGACTATTACAAATATAACTGAAGTTTTCGAGCCGCACGGAAAATTCGACACGGGAAAAAAGTGCATACAAGACACATGGAGCAATTCATGTTTGATTGTTAAGTGAGAATATCTGACAAAATCAAACACACAATGATCGATAAAGAAAAACAGCTGTTTGCAGATGACCGAATTGCGATGAACAGATTTCAAGTGGATCCAAATGTTCATATACATTCAGTGATTCAATGCTATGTTAAGCAAAACCAAAAAACGAAAACTTATGACGAAAGACAATGCAACGCGTGTGTTTATTGCTTGAGATTATGATCATGTGCACATATATTCATTCGAAATAGATTCAGCCCACATACGCTACATTCGAATTTCGGATGAAATGCAAACAAGATGTGCTGCGGAAACTCCATTTTTAGCCAAAAGGAGACGAAAAAAGAGAAAGAATGAGACATTTTGTATGCAAGAGCGCACAACGGTACCCAATAAAACCAGCCACAACCATGCTGCGGCAATGCTTTAACTATTACAATAATTTTTTTTTATTGCTGTAATTGTTTACATTTAGTGTTTGACGTTAACACCTTCCGTAACTGCGCTTTGTCATTTTACCATATGAATTATGATAATTTATTTATCACTTTCGATAGAGAAAAACTGCAAGTATTTACATGTGTGTATTTGGATGAAATTCAGTGAGTCCAGCATGAATGGCTGACACTGGCAGTTGCAAATGAGCGGTCGGTGACAATGGGTCTATCTATTCTGAAAAACAATGACGTGAAAACAAATATTCAACACGCACAACAGCAATTTATGTATTAAAGCGAGATGAAAATGAAATAGGTAAATAGAAATATGAGAAACCACGAATAGATAGACCGGTAATTTTCTACGTATGTGTTGTGATAGCCAAATTGGATCTTTATGCACGTGAGCTACGCTAAACCACATCACAGTACACACACACATATATAGACAATAAACACAAGTGTTACAAATGTTAAAATGTCAACATAAATGAATTATTATAAGGCGAATGCCACGAATAAGACAGACGACTGTAGAATACGGAAATGTGACAATTTATATAAAAAAACACGCATTCCATTTCGATTAATTTGAATATCGAAAAATGTTTGTGATAGCAAAGAAACGGGCGACATCTTTCGATACCAATTACGAAATTATTCAAATCCAAAGCGTATATTCTTGATACAATCAGTTGATTTGATTTAAAACGGTCACTTCATTTTTCAATTTCAATTCACAATTAATGACTTCGATTGATTGTCCAGGATGATAACGTACGATGCATTTCGTCTTTAGGCGGAGGTAGATTCTTCTCATCAATAAAGTGTTCATCATCATTCATTTTTTTCATTGGACTTTTTTCTTCGAGCATTTTTGTTTTGTTTCTTTGGTTCGATCACTTTTTAGTTTTTCCATAGTTCATTGAATGATGCTGCATAATTTTTTTTGCCTTCGAATATAAATATGGCCTAGAAAATGAAAATTTCACCATTCCCGAAAAAAAAAAACCCACAACTATGAAAACTCATGCACATGTTTAATGAAAACAAAGATGTAAATCATTTGAATATTCACTTAATTGAATCATTTTTTGTTGCTCGTTGAAATAGTATTCACTTGATTTATTCCTTTAAAATATGTACGCTTTTTTTATTTTCAACGAACGAGCAAGCGAGAGAGAATTTGTATGTGTTTAAGAGAGAAAAAAAGAAAGAGAAATAAAATATTTCTAGTAAAAATATGTGCTGGGCATTAAAATGTGGCGCGTTTTTACTTTGTCGAACGTGAATATTCGGTATCACATTAAACGATATTGGTTCGAGGTATATTTAGCTGGTTTTCCTCTCCATATCTCTCTCATTCCCGCCATCTCTCTCCAAATGTCTTTCAATATTTATGATCGAACTTTAAATGGTCGTCGAACAAATGTATACGCGCACAAATTGTGCAACGCAATAATTCATGTTTTATCAAATTGTCATCATATGCATAAATATGTATCATACGCTTGCATCTGTTTCTATTGTATGTGCTCGAATTTCAGTTTTGCTTTCCTTTTCCTCTTCAAGTACAATTTATTTATTTTTTACAATTTTTTTTTTAAATTGTTCGATATTGTTAGCCAACAAGCTAACTTCAGTCATTGTTCCATATTGCTCCTAAAATACAAGGTATTTCAAAAAATCGATAATCGAATGTAAAATAATTACAGAAATACACTCAAATATAATATAATGCATGAACGTCGCCTATGATATCATCGGCTTTGATATCATTTATGTACCCTGTGATAAATGCATATAACTTTGCAGCTGGTCGCACCAAGTGTGCAGTTTTTCAGTTTTTACTTTCTGTATGTCTGTGTAAAATCATCATTTTCTCTTTCTCGTCGTCACCTCTAATAGACCGAATGATTTACAATCGAGAGAAAAAATTTATAGTCAATAACTAATAAATAATTT